AACCTCTGCAGATTTCCTGTTCTAACTTGCTCCTCTATCTTGCTCCTCTATCTTGTTGATTCAGCTGTGCTTGAACGGACGCCGTTGTGGAAGACTAGGTATTACCAAGGTAAGACTGTTTTTTCCCCCTGTTGTGCAAGTTCCACTTTCCTCCTCTCTCCCCCCTTCTTTTTATTTTTTTTCGTTCATTTTTGAAAATTATTTACAAAGTTTCCCTGCATATTTTCACTTGTTCAAATATACCGGATGTTTTTATATTTGCATCTTTTCTTTCAGTAAGTAGTTTACAGAAATAGCATAAATCGTCACTTTGATCATATTGGCGGTGTGCATATGGCCATGCAAACTGTTTATTTCAAAGAAGCTGAAGGAGCTACCCATGTCTCCGCCGGGCATATGTCATCTGTAACTTCGGCCCCTTGGTGGAGCACGATAGGGTCCCAGACAATTTTTGGCGAGTCTTGTGGCCAAATGAAACCTTTTTCACTGGAGATTCCGAATCATGCAGAGCAACTTGCTTCCAGTAAGCAGGCAGGAAGAGGAGCTGAACAAGTGTTTGATAAAGGACACACCACTCAGTTCGCTATCTTTTCAGGTAATCTTTTACTTTTATAGAGAATTTAGATCTATCTCCTAGTTTATGGCGGTTTTAAAAGCTTTATGATCTTAACAAGGAAAGGACATGAGTAACAAGTTCCCATTTATCTTCCTGCCGAAAATATCATGATGAAGACATAAATGGTAAATTTTGTTTCTCTGAATTTTAAATAGAGGGAAACTGCAGATGTGGATGACGTACTCCTTATTTATCGCTGAATTTAGTCGTCCTATTTATTGAGTTAAATTCCCATAAATGATGGTAAGGTTTTTGATGGGTTTGTCGTCGTCCACACAAAAGTAGTACTCTGTTTTCGGTTTTTCACTAGATCTCATTTTCGTTGAAATATAATTCCCATTTCGTACAGCCCCACCTACCCACTTTGAATTCTCTCTCACACGCGCGCGCGCTCACACAAATTAAAAGGAAACACAAGCATTCTAGAAAGAAAGATATGATAACGGCGAAGCTTGTTTAGGATGATGGGGCTCTTTACCAGGGCCACGTAGAAATGGGCTATGATGTATATGAAAGACCTGAATTTGGATGCTTCTTTCAAGCATGCTGATTTGAGCATTGGAATATAGAGACTTGATTTAAGTACTTCTGGAAATATTCTTCCGCTGTTGCCTCATAAAGACATCCTTTTTGCCATATCTTGGTCTTCAGTTGCTGATATGCTTCGGGAGGAAGTAGATAGATTTAGTAGTGACAGTTAAACTAGGGAAAGGTACATTTTTTTCAAAGAAGTTTCTCTTAAACGAATCTCCTTTCAAGGCCAATTAAATCTTGTTATTTAACACACTGGCAGAGCATTCGGTGTGAAACTGATTCTTTCACTGGACTTCAACTCTGCAATGAGAGAGAGGATAAATATTATAATCTCCTCCTTCCTCCCGATCCGCCTCTTTTTTGTACTGACTTGAAAGTTCAATGAAGACAAGGGTCTTATCAGGGAGTTCTATTTATTAGTTCTTAAGTGAGCAGATAAACCAGGATTGTTCTATTACTTCCATCTGCTGACTGCAAACACAGTTGATAAGATCTTTCTTAATGATTATGGGCGTAAGGTTGGAATCTAAAATTATGCTCTAAGTTGGTTTTTTGGTTGCCTCAGTTTATTTCAGAGAGGTATTTCTTTTTCTAAATTTTGAAGTGAGAATTCTTGCATTGTCACTTGAAACATCTTTGATTAACGAGTCAAATATTTTTTGCTTCAGATGATTGTAAAATGTCAGGTGATCAGAAGTCTCAAACTGGCATATCACTTCAATCATCAATTCCTGATCCTCACACTCGTGTTGAGCTGGGAATTAATCAGCCTGTGGTAAAATTCGTCACAAAATGACCCCATTGATGCTTTATTTTTTTAATTTCTGCCCGAACTTTCAGTTTCTTTGTTGCTTTTTACGATGTAGATCTGCGCAAAATATCCTTATATGGATCAATTTTACGGGCTCTTCTCAAGTTATGGACCTCAAATTCCGGTTAGTCCTTACACCATCAGCATCCAAATCTGCATAAACCACGCCATTCTTTTAACATGCTTGCATGATAGCCTTGTTTTTATCAACTTATAGTAACATTGTGTAGCCGTATATGAGGGAGCCATTTTTCTTGTAACTCTTTAAAGTATGATCTCCTTTGATTGTGCTCTTCTCAACTTACAGATCTTAAATTCTGGTCAGTCTTTACTCCACCATCACCTTAGTCCACATAAGCCATGCTATTCTTTTAACTTTGCTTAGATGGGAAGTTTGTTTTGTCAATTCATACTCGTGAAGTGTAACCATTAATGAGAAAGCTAATTTTCTCATAATTCTCTGAAGTTTATCTAGTATGACTGTTTATGGCGAAAAAGTGTATTTAATTGTGCTTTTCATTGTATATGGCTTCCAATGCCCTGATTTTCAGCCTTGAGTGACATTCGTATAAATAACTAGGGATGATCATGGGCAGGCCAATATAGTTCCCTTCCCCGACTCATTTACTGAGCAAAAGTTTCTCCGTGCCTCTTAAGTACTCGAATCTCTTGTTTACCGAGCATTTACCCAGAAAAATTCATAATGAACTGGTTTTCCGCTAAATTCTGACTTCTGATTCGAAGTTTAATATATTTGTAATCAATCAAGGGCCGTATGATGCTGCCACTTAACATGGCATCTGATGATGGACCGATCTATGTTAATGCTAAGCAGTACCATGGAATCATCCGACGTCGACAGTCACGAGCAAAAAAGCTGTGCTGGAGAATAAACTGACCAAACGTCGCAAGGTATAATCTCTTATACTATCATTATTCAGCCATGAAACATTATAGCCGTGATGGTACCAAATCGATGTGGAGTTGTGGCCAGTGGCACATAATGATTGTTTGGCTGCTGAGCAATAATAAGTTGATATGCTTTTAATCAAATGACTTCTCCTCTATCTTAAGCAAGACTAAAATAACCAAGAAATAGTTATGATGATGTAGATTTGCTTGATAACAATCAGCAATCAAATCCCTTCATCTTCACTCAATGGCCATTCTTGATTTACAGCCTTATATGCATGAATCACGCCATCTGCATGCAATGCGTCGCCCAAGAGGATGTGGTGGTCGGTTCTTGAACTTGAAAAACGGCAATGGAAAAGGCGGAAGTGAAGGGAATAAAACTGGTGAGGGTCAAATGCAGTCTCCTGGTTCTCAAATCTCTGAAGTGTTGCAATCATCAAAGGAAACAAGTGGGAGCAGTCCACCCGTGTGTGGATCAGAGGTGACTAGCATGTATACAAGGGGAGGTCATGGCTTTACATTCAACCATCTTGGACCAGATGTTCATCACACTCTTGGAGGCATGATGGACAGTCGCGGCGGCGGCGGCTTAGTTATGCCCGCCAAATGGGTTGCAGCACCAGGTAAATGCTGCAGCCTTGAAGTTTGATTTTGGCAAGGAAATACAGTGGGATTGGTGCACCAACGTTGTACCACATCCCCGTCCTTGCCCCAACCAGATGAAGAAGAGCTTTGTTGCGTTTTCCTTGTGGTTACTGTGACTAGTTTCGTATGTGAGGCTGTCTCCGTCGTCTGGGTTGAAGGCAAATCATTCTTGGCTCATGAAAATTTGCTGGCAAATCGTCCTTGGCTCATTATTACTATCTATAGAACTAATATCCGCCTTTCCCCTCAGGCCTGTCCGCCTGTGGCGTTTTTACACATAACGTGCTAATGACTTGATATCCTGAAACTGGGTGGGTTGTAATGCTGTGTGTGTTTGTTGTAATAAGTGTGTGAAATTCTAGTTTGCATGTGTGCTTGGGAACTTAACTTTTGAGAGCTTGGTGGTGTTTTATTCCAGACCTGACTTTGTGAATCTATGTACCATAGAACGTGATGTTTGTTTGAATAAAACATTTGTCTGGATTCCCTGCAAGCATATATCCCTTCTCCAGCAATCCCGCACGAGGACTATGATACGCGAGCTCTATCTCTCACAAGAGTGAGCTTGAAATCGTTTGTTTTCCCCACTAAGAATGACCCAAAACTTTTCTCCCACATTTGCAGCCCAAAGTCAATTATCCCCAATTAAATCCAGATGGGCACTCGATGATACTCCTATCTCATAATGATGACGAGTTGGTCCTAGATAATACTCCTCTCTCATGGTGAAGAGTTGGTTCTCCTCTCTCTAGAACGCAAACTCTCTGTAGGGGGAAAAAAAAATCTCAGCGCCGTGTTTAATGTATGTCGGTGTGAGATGTGATGACACGGAAGAAAAAGAGAGGGGGAAGTGTTTGGCGACAAAAATTCTCAGTCTCAAGGCTGAAAGTTGGACTACTTATCAGATCTTTATAATAAAATCTAGAATTTAGATTAAATTATGAATATCTATTTAATGGCATTCTATGAAGTCAATTGTAATATTAATAATTTACATTATAAATTATATATTTGGTATCCCTATTTTTTGGGTGAAACGAAATGAATTGTATTATTACTCCCTCCACACTTATTATAAGAATAATTATCAAAATCATGCAATTTAAAATGTTAGTTGAATTTGTTTACAATAATAAAATATATAAGATATATACATATTTTTTTAATTATATTTTTATTTGTAAAGAAATATGAGAAATATAATAAGTAAAAATTTATTGCAGATAAGTGATATACTCTATTTTATAAGGATAAAAATAAAAATATTTGTTTCTTATATTTAAAAATATAATGATGAGGGATATTATTTTTTATAAAAGAAATGGGGAGAGTTTTTTTTTTTTTCACACGAAATAATAATAATAACAACGGAGAGAGAGAGAAAGGATAAAGGAGAGAATGAGAGAAAAAAAAATCCGAAAGCGAGCTAACCTTATCCTTCTCCCCGCTCAAATGGAAAGCCTCAACGTTGCCTCTTCTCCTCCTCCCTTTTTGTGCCATGTCTCTTTCCCATGCCTGACTTTTAATCTCTACTTCTCAGCCATTTCCCTTCTTCACAGTTTCGACCTTGTCTCTCTCCATGGCTGCTACAACCGCTCCTTCCTCTTCCATCTGCAACCGACTCCACAGCCTCTACGTCACTCCCTCTTCCTTCTCAATCACCCTCAAATTCCCTCCCACGCCCATTTCTCAAAAGCCCCCCAACCTCAGTCTCAAATCCCACTTCCTCAATTCCTCTCCTCTCTCACTCTTCCATCTTCGTTTGGCTTCGGCTGCCTTTGATGGATTCGAAGTCGCTCAAGACAGCACAAACGCTGAGCAGGTAGAACCAGAAGCCGAACCCTCTGAAAAGTCAGAACAAGAGGAGGATGACCAAAAGGTACCCGACTCAAACGAAGCTGGGAGGCTCTATGTGGGAAATTTGCCCTTTTCGATGACTTCTTCCCAGTTATCTGAAATTTTTCAAGAGGTTGGCAATGTGGTGTCTGTAGAGGTTTGCAAACTCCCTCCTTTCTTTCAATGATTCCCTGTTTGATTTAAAAGTTCCAACTTCTTGATTTGAATAAGTTTTTTTCATGGTAATTAAATTAATGTATGGATTGCCCTTATTTTGTATAATTGAATTCTTTAGATAGTATATGATCGCGTCACGGATAGAAGCAGAGGATTTGCATTTGTCACAATGGGAAGCGCTGAGGATGCTAAAGAAGCCATTCGCATGTTTGATGGCTCCGTAAGTCTTACCCGCACTTACTGGTACCGAATTTAATGCGTAAAGATCTTAAATGAACTATTGACATAAGCCTGAAATGAAAGTGTGTATATTGAATGAGTGCAAATGCCATCCCATGCAATAAGCTCATCCAGACCTGAGAACTCTTCATCAAAGTGCTTATAATAGGTTAAAAAAGATGAAAAAAACACTGGTTTCGAAGTTATGTTTGTAACAATGTTGAGTTCACCAATGTGCAAAATATAGTGATTTTTTTTTTTAATACAAAAGTTTAGTGAATTTGATTGGCTGTGACTGTGATGATGTGCAGCAAGTTGGAGGTAGGACGGTGAAGGTAAACTTTCCAGAAGTGCCAAGAGGAGGAGAAAGGCTAGTGATGGGGCCAAAAGTAAGGAACAACTACAGAGGCTTCGTGGACAGTCCTCACAAGATATACGCTGGAAACCTTGGATGGGGATTGACTTCACAGGGTCTCAGAGATGCTTTTGCTGGCCAACCTGGCTTTTTGAGTGCCAAGGTCATTTATGAAAGGGACACTGGAAGATCTCGAGGCTTTGGGTTTGTCTCCTTCGAAAACTGCTGAGGATGTTGAGGCTGCTTTGAATGCTATGAATGGGGTGGTTAAGAACAATCAATCATCGTAGCTTGGTTGGTTTTGCAGCTAAATCTTCTTGTGATGTAGCGATTTAGTGTAATCATTTTGTTTGGACATGTAATGTGTTTCAGGAGGTCCAAGGCAGGGCTCTGAGACTGAATCTGGCTGCAGATAGGACAAGTGCATCCCCTCCAACAATGGATGAAACTGCGCAAGAGGAATTGGTGTCTAGCGTTAGCACGTGAGGAATTTTGCCCCTTCTGCTCCTCCATTTCCGGTTATTTATTAATCAAATTGGTATATAGTAACTACACGTCCCGGCGGTTGTGGTATGTATATCTGGAACACATGTTCAATATATATTATTCAAGAATTCATGTTCAATTAAATGGATAGTTTGGTAGTTATGAAAGGAAACAGGCTTTTCAATGGAGGTCTTACTTTCTTTTCCCTTTTAGTATAAGAATTATTTAATTAATTTGAATAAATTTAAAAAGTCAAATAAATCAGTTAATTATAACAAATATGATATGATCTTCTTGAAATATTCCTGTATAACATTATATTATGTATAGCTTATGAGTCAAGTAAACTAGTTTGGGGAAAATGATGACTATGACTTATGAAAAATTAAGTAAATTAAAGTTTTATATTTAAAGTCAAAACTAATCCTTCAACTTATATAATAACTCCTATGTTAGGAATTGGAAGGAGTATTTGTTAGAGTTCTGCTGGTTTTTTCCTTTCTCTTCTTCTTCTTATTATTTTCAATAAGATGCTGAGGTGCCGAAACATAGCGCTTGATCATGCAATATCGTCAATGTATTCAAACGCATATCTGGCGGGTCAGTAACAGCGCGACACCTCCTTCCACCTTGCATTAGCTAACAAATACCAATATCATCAAATATTTACACGTGGATGGGTACTAATAGATACTACTTCCGGTCCTAATTATAAGATCTAGTTGACTAATTTGGAGAGATTAAAGAACTTAGTTAAATTAGTTAGTAATGAATATGTGTTGTTTTTCTAAAATCATTGCCAGTTAAGTTTGTTATCTATAACTACTATTATTAGAAGGATTATCATGGAAAAAAGTAGATAAATATGAGAGATAAAGTAGATGGGGGTCTTATATTTAGGATCAAAATAAAAGTTAAACAGGGTCTTATAATAAGGATCGGAGGTAGAAGTAGTATGTATAATATATATATAGTGAATATCTATATATGTGTGTGTGTGTGTGTGATACTCATCAGCCATGAACGGTGTCTTAGCCTTGCAACACAGGATATTATTTTAGTTTCAGCTCTTTGAGAATCGGGAGGGACGGAAATAGCGATATGCATGATGTAAAGCTGCAAGTGCAAAGCGCGAATTTTCGAAGTCATTTAGGTTTGCGGCGCAGTAACCTTTTTAATTTATTTCCGGTAAAACGGGAGAAAATCTTTGGACTTGTTTTGTTCATGCACAGAAACAGTAAGGGTTTGACCAAAACAAAAGAAGCGAAGCAAAGAAAAAGGGACGGATATAAAGCGGGAAAACAGATTATGTGTTTTGCACCATGAAAAGCATTGGACACGATCACAGTGACCCTAAACAGTAAATCATCATCGTTCATGAGACTGCTTTCTGGGTAATCACTTCGTGTTGTAGGTGTAACACACTTTGACATACTTGGAAGTCCACTTAGACACGAAGAACAATAACTCAAAAGTGTTTCGACCAAAAAAAAAAAAAGAAGAATTATAGGAATGAAATAATTCTGTCTACGAGGAATCACCACCGGCAAGAAGAGCATCTGCCGCAGAGTCCAGGTCATGCGGGAAAAAAACCCTGCAAACAGAATAATCCTGTAAATTTTCCAGATTCTGCATTAACCCCTTCAAAGCAGCAGTCCAATTGTTATTTATAGCGTGTTTGGTTTTACGTTTTTCAATAAGATGTAACATAAACGAGTTTAAAAATTGAAAGTAAGAAAGGAAAGAAGACGGATCAGCCAAAACAGCAAAAATCTAAAATAGATGCGCGTACACTTTCAGATCATGAGTAGATAAAGGAAAAGAACAGCGCTTTTTGTGGGGAAAAAACAATGCTATTGAATTATGTCAAGCGTGCTGCAGAGCTCCTAACACTAACAGTATCTATTTTCCAACTACATGCACATTTGTGTGTAACTGACTCAAAACATCCGCACAATATAGTTCGGTTCTAGCATGTAACGCTGTGAGTTGGTGACAAAGAAATTCAATCAAGGCAGAGTTTGGCGTTTTTCCATTCCACCTACATGCTTTTTCACATAATTTGCTCGATGAAAATGCATTTTTTACGTTAAAGAAGGTACTCAGACATTAACATTCAAATTAATTTAGGATCTGTTTTTCACAATTGAACACTGAAAGTTTCCTTCAACAATGGACAATCTCAGAAGAAACTCGGCTGGGAACCACGTTACCTGCAAGTGTTGTGGTATAATGTTTCACCGAGTTTACCCAACTCGTTGATGCCTTTACAGCCAGCGACCACCTCAAGAACTTGCCTGGCAACAACCACATTGTTCAACGAAAAAGGTAAATCTCTACCTAATTTTAAACACACTTAGACAAAAGCCAAAGGTAGATAACAATTGCAAACGCTGAAACCAAACTTGCCGGGTAACACTTAAGTGTTGATTTAGAAAGCAGAAGGCTCCAATATTCTTAATTATATTCATACCACTGACGGATTTTTCTTGAGACGATGGTATCACAATAATGGACATCAATTAATAAGTTTACAAGTTGACATCAACCCAGTATGAGCAAAATCATTTCAATTACCTAACTAAACAAGGTTCATTCCGGCCTTTGACAATGCACTCTTGATCATACTTCTCCTTCTTTTTAGAAGGCCATGTAGATTTAACAAATCCAATCCCTGCATGCGTGTTCTTGATTTCACAGTAAGGTGAGTCTGTTTCGATCATCATTCTCTCAACAGGAATACCCTTAACTACATCAAGGTTCTCAGTTGTCTTCAACGAGCAGCCATTTATGCCTGTCATAGTGCCACAAGCATGCCATACCATCAGAGTCAATTAGACTGTTAGCATTTACTCATGGTAGTCTCGGAAGTAATAAATTCAGGCAAGTCAACTAGCTACGAAACACATCAGTTGATTTGTAGAGCAGTATATGCACAAAGCCATTGCCAGCAGTTGCCGCCTAGATTAGCTAACCGTCATTGTTCTTAAAAATCGATGGCCAACCAGTTCAATCAGTTGAACTATGAAGCAGCCTAAATATTGGTTTCAGAGAGCCTATGCAACCCCCAACCAGTCAAAATGCCACATATAGTTTATACCTTTATGGTCTAATTACGCTTATATACATTATATCTATTTCTTTAACTGTTTCTCTAAATATATAATATGAGCTTCGAAACATTGTAATGATTATTAATTTAATATAATGCTTCACTCGTTTGTGCTTTCAATTTTACCCTTTCATATATTACATATATTTTTGAAATAACGCATCTCTTGGTAACCTGATAAAATAAAGCTAATGACATTGAACGATGTGATTTACCTATGTACATATTATCAAATGAGAGAAGCTTAATACTATCTTCTGCACTACCAGTAAATGAATGAGTCACCCCACCAGTGAACCTGTCATACAAATGGAAATGATAAAGTCCATTTAAATTCCTCAAGTTATGATTCCAACAGTCACTACCAGTTGGAATACATTCAATTTCAGGTATGGACTTTTATAATATGGGGTTAGTGATGAAAATGAGCTAGATGTTATTTTTAATGCGCTGGTGATATAATTCCTATGTAATTCTCCATCACTTTCTTTTATCACATCCATTAAACTATTATTGCTTGATTATCTGACAATATCTTAGTGCACGTTGGCAACCACACCTGTCCCTATTTCTCTCAACTAGTTCACAAAAATCCGCAGCAGCTGCTCGCATGTGCAAAAACATTGGCAGTTTTGTGATATGTGCCAATTCAAATTGCTTCTCGAAATACCTAGTTTTCACAATAAAGCAAATTATCAACAAGATGACATTAGAAAGCGAACACCACGAAGATAATAGAGCGAATGTACCAAAAGACTTAGCTACAACTGCATACTCTTTTGAATCTCAGCGGGGCAAAAGTGAAGCCTATCATAGTCCAATCCACATTCTCCAACTGCAACCACCTTGCATAAGAAGTTATTATTGTTATTATTACAAGTATTTTGGAAAATAGTCATGACAGGAAATAATTTGTTTTATCTTTAGAGTACAACCATACCTTTCCTTTTTGAATTCCTTCTTTAGCCAATGACAAGAGAGCCTGAAAATGCTTTTCTGGATCTCCAGCCTCCTCAAATTCCTGAACCAAAACAACGAGGCATTTGAAAACACTTCAACTCAAATCACCCATCCAGAGAAATTTTCTGAAGGACGAAAGCAACCTTACAACGTGTTGGATGCACACCGACAGTGCAGCAGAAGAGCCGTCCTATTAAAGAAATAAATCATTAAATGGCTCAATAAGAAAAGCTTGCATGTTAAAGTCTACAAGGACGAGAAAGTAAGGTAATATACACAAACCATCTGTTTCTGCAATTGCAAGAGCTTCCCTCGATTCCTCAAGCGATCCACCAGTTACCTACAACAGACCAAGTCCACGCATTTAAACCCATTACATTTTATCGGATCAAATTTATGTCCATCAAACATATATATGCAAGAATAATATATCAGTAGTAATGACATTCTCTTGTTTGCTTTTTAGGGATTGTAATATGGTTTTACTCGTTTGGAATTTATGGGTATAGTGCCACCCTCTTGATTTCACAGTAAGGTGAGTGTTTCGATCATCATTCTCTCAACAGGAATACCCTTAACTACATCAAGGTTCTCAGTTGTCTTCAACGAGCAGCCATTTATGCCTGTCATAGTGCCACAAGCATGCCATACCATCAGAGTCAATTAGACTGTTAGCATTTACTCATGGTAGTCTCGGAAGTAATAAATTCAGGCAAGTCAACTAGCTACGAAACACATCAGTTGATTTGTAGAGCAGTATATGCACAAAGCCATTGCCAGCAGTTGCCGCCTAGATTAGCTAACCGTCATTGTTCTTAAAAATCGATGGCACCAACCAGTTCAATCAGTTGAACTATGAAGCAGCCTAAATATTGGTTTCAGAGAGCCTATGCAACCCCCAACCAGTCAAAATGCCACATATAGTTTATACCTTTATGGTCTAATTTACGCTTATATACATTATATCTATTTCTTTAACTGTTTCTCTAAATATATAATATGAGCTTCGAAACATTGTAATGATTATTAATTTAATATAATGCTTCACTCGTTTGTGCTTTCAATTTTACCCTTTCATATATTACATATATTTTTGAAATAACGCATCTCTTGGTAACCTGATAAAATAAAGCTAATGACATTGAACGATGTGATTTACCTATGTACATATTATCAAATGAGAGAAGCTTAATACTATCTTCTGCACTACCAGTAAATGAATGAGTCACCCCACCAGTGAACCTGTCATACAAATGGAAATGATAAAGTCCATTTAAATTCCTCAAGTTATGATTCCAACAGTCACTACCAGTTGGAATACATTCAATTTCAGGTATGGACTTTTATAATATGGGGTTAGTGATGAAAATGAGCTAGATGTTATTTTTAATGCGCTGGTGATATAATTCCTATGTAATTCTCCATCACTTTCTTTTATCACATCCATTAAACTATTATTGCTTGATTATCTGACAATATCTTAGTGCACGTTGGCAACCACACCTGTCCCTATTTCTCTCAACTAGTTCACAAAAATCCGCAGCAGCTGCTCGCATGTGCAAAAACATTGGCAGTTTTGTGATATGTGCCAATTCAAATTGCTTCTCGAAATACCTAGTTTTCACAATAAAGCAAATTATCAACAAGATGACATTAGAAAGCGAACACCACGAAGATAATAGAGCGAATGTACCAAAAGACTTAGCTACAACTGCATACTTCTTTTGAATCTCAGCGGGGCAAAAGTGAAGCCTATCATAGTCCAATCCACATTCTCCAACTGCAACCACCTTGCATAAGAAGTTATTATTGTTATTATTACAAGTATTTTGGAAAATAGTCATGACAGGAAATAATTTGTTTTATCTTTAGAGTACAACCATACCTTTCCTTTTTGAATTCCTTCTTTAGCCAATGACAAGAGAGCCTGAAAATGCTTTTCTGGATCTCCAGCCTCCTCAAATTCCTGAACCAAAACAACGAGGCATTTGAAAACACTTCAACTCAAATCACCCATCCAGAGAAATTTTCTGAAGGACGAAAGCAACCTTACAACGTGTTGGATGCACACCGACAGTGCAGAAGAGCCGTCCTATATTAAAGAAATAAATCATTAAATGGCTCAATAAGAAAAGCTTGCATGTTAAAGTCTACAAGGACGAGAAAGTAAGGTAATATACACAAACCATCTGTTTCTGCAATTGCAAGAGCTTCCCTCGATTCCTCAAGCGATCCACCAGTTACCTACAACAGACCAAGTCCACGCATTTAAACCCATTACATTTTATCGGATCAAATTTATGTCCATCAAACATATATATGCAAGAATAATATATCAGTAGTAATGACATTCCTCTTGTTTGCTTTTTAGGGATTGTAATATGGTTTTTACTCGTTTGGAATTTATGGGTATAGTGCCACCCTCACTCATGGAGAGAGTCATCTGAAGGAACAAGGGATTCTCCAGTGTCAATCAAGGAAAGATTTCCTAAAGACAATTGAGGCTAATATTGAAAATGGGACTTAAATAACACTATAACCTTAACTGGTGGAAAAATTCAGAGAGACTACAAAGAAGAATTCTTCAAACTTCTTCTCTCCATCAGAGTTCTCATCCTTCTACGTTTTATGCTTTTATGAGTTTTCACTGTTTCCAGGAAGTAAGTTCTTGATAATCCGCCACTGTGCAAGATATTCACACATTAAGGGGATTTTCGATAAACGTATAACTTCACAACAAAAACTCTCTTCCTCCCCCTTAGTTTCGTAAACACCCCAATTCAAGCCTAAAATCCTCTAAACCAAGAAATGTGGACAACAAAAACTCCTAATCGAACCCTTAAAAAAAAAAAACATTTCAAATTCTGGGCCGTTTAATCTCTTTGCTTAACTTGCCCTGCCTCGTCTACCAGCTAAAATTACATCCTTTCGCATCTCACAACTTAGTAAACAAATTAGATACAAAATTAAAGCTAATCGCGAATTAAGCTACATAAAATGGAGATAAAGGAAGAGGGTATAGTGTACAATAATTCGGTCGACCCCGGCACCCCAAGCTCTGCTCAAGACCGTTGCAATATCTGAGACGTGACATTGCTTGCCGTTGTAGATTCCTTTGAACATTCCATCTGTTGAAGAATATTGATGTTTAGAATTACTAAAATAGAGAATAAAAAACAAACACGGAGTGTGATAAGACGCCCGAGAACTATTTGATAAAATGCCTGACCTGTGAAGTTAACAGCTATATCTGCATCGGTTACGCGAGAGAGGATTAGTTCAAAGTCCGAGGGTTAATGGTCACAAATGAATCTGCAAATTAATTAGTCTATGCAGTAGCTTACCTATCATTCGAATAGTTGCCATGCCTCCCCTGAGAAAACGATCTCCTCACAATGGACTGCCAAGATGTGCTTCTTGCTTGGCTGCTTTCTTTAAGACTAGCTACCGGTTAACTACCCATTTCCCGGTAACACTCACTGAAGCAGGCGCCTAAATTGTTTCTTATTTATTTACCGAAAAAACTGTCTTATTTTTCTTAATAAAAAGTTTGGATGATGAGTTTTAAATTATGGCAAATGATCTAATTTCAAGATTCTCGTATCAACGTTATATATATAGTAAAAAGAATTAACAATGCCTTTTAAAATTAATGTTCCTAAAATATAACCAAAAAATCACTACCATGCAAAAATATCATCTTTACATTAAGCTCGACCAAGCTTAGTTTAGAAAAAATTGCAATAAAGTCTCATCTAAGAGATTTAAATACAAAAAGGGTTTTTAAAATCACCAAATTATTTAGAAGTCCTAAGGGATCTCATTTAAATAGATTTTACTTTTTTAATTATCAAATTGCTTTTATCTTTTTTTCCCCTGAAAATATGCATTGATAACTGAAATTACAGTCGTTGATAACTTAATGCATAGTGATTAATAACTATCATGACAAATATTAATCATGCATTACATTTTTGTGATATGCTGAGAAAATATGTTGTTAATACCTATCACGATAGTTATTAATAATTACACCTTAAATTGTTAATGACTGTTCTTTTAATTATCAATGCATACTTTAAAAAAAAGACAATTAGGTAATTAAACAAATAAAATTTCTTGCAATGAGGTCATTTGAGACTCCAAAATAATTTAATAATTTTAATGGACCTTCTTGTATTTAATTCTCTTAGGTGAGACCTTATTATAATTTTTCTTTTATTTTATGGCCGAACACCATATGTTTCTCAAAAAAAGAAAAAAAAATGACAGCATTACTTTTCAATATGTTCATATCTCAAAATATATACTTCGGAACTCAATTTAAAGTAAAATTTTCTTTCAGCAGAATTATCTAAAATAAACATTCTTCATCTTCTAATAGCATTTCATTAAAAAGTCCCCGCTCAAAAAACATTTCATTAAAAAATTATGTTAATTGAAACATCAACTGAGCCCTATGAATACTTTATAACCTTTGTTTGAGTCTCATATTAAAATATATTGAATTGGGTTGAATGTTAGAAGTATGAAAAATTACTGTTTGAGCAGTTTGATTCGAATTAAATTGGCCAAAATTAGAATAAAACAAAAACTGAATCGAATCAGTCAAGTCTTGTTTATGATCATTTTTGTTGGGTTTCTTTTAATTCGGTCTAACCAATTTCAATTTTGTTTGATGTTGGACAGCTAATCACATCATAGTTAAAATTTATTTATCCAGTTCTAAATATAAAATCCACTTTATAATCATAAATATAATACCCACTTTATAACGTAAACATTATAAAGTGAGTCGTGTATTTAGCAGCGGAGGAGTATAAAATTTTTACTGCCGATGGCATAGCATGCGAAGAACACTTTTGTTCAGGAGAGATATTTCGATCACACAAAAACTATTCAGCAAACGTTCCGTTAGCAGAGGAAGAACTTGAAGAACAGAGCATGCGGCTGCTGGTAGAAGAAAGGCCAGCCAAAATATGCACACCGTCAAAACAAAGATTAATTAAAGAACTGTCTGTGTGTGTGTGTGTGTAATCTTATAGCATCGGAATGAGTCAGTTTCTGAGAAGCATGGGGAGAAGTATAACCAAGACGACAATGAGAAGCAGTAAGATGGCAAAACAGGTCCATCTGCGGCTGTTTTTCTGGTGATTCTTAGCAACGTGAAGCTGCTGAACTCCACTCCTTACGAAGGAATTAGCTCGAGCCATGTGGCTCTCTATGTCGTCCAATTGTTCGCCTTGCGACTGCACCAACACGGCCATGTCCATGAACACTTGGTGCAGCTCATTCAGATTCCTCTCTATCTCCCTCACTGCGTCATTCCTCTCTTGTATCTCCTTTATCGTCTCCACAATGCTCGCCCTCCCCTGTTCTTGTATTGCCTTCTTCAAGAATGTCTCGCTTTCACCTTCATATATCATCATTTAAAGCAACTTCATTATTAGAATTAGAATGCTTAGAAGATTAGGAAGCAAGAAGCAAGCATGGTAGTCACCAGTGGAGATGAGCAGGTCAATGGTTTTGTCGTCGGGATTCTCGCCGGTGACAGTGAAGTACCTGCGTTGCACGGTTTCTCTGTACTCCGAGGATATCTTTTGGCGCAGGTTGTTGAAGCTGTCCATGGAGTCTTTCAGCTTTTTTCTCAATCCGCTTACGACGGAGGTCCGCGTCCGGTCGGACGAAGAGCCGGGTCCGCAGCCCGGCAAGATCCGATTGGCTTCGTTGGAGCGGTCCAGTGCTTCCAAGCGGAGCTTAATGAGCTTAGCTTTCTTGAGGGCTAGGGCAACGTCGGCGTCCATGCGAGACCGAAGCTCCTTAACGGATTCGGCGGTGTGAAGGGTCTTGCCCTGTTCCTGGGATCCACGGAGGCTCTGGTTGAGCCTCTCCAGCTCCTTGAGCTCCTCCTTGACGGACTCCACTTCCGAGAAGAATTTGTCGAGGTTGACTCCGTCCCTCGACGGCGACGTGTCCGTCATCTGGATGACGTGGTGCTGGTTGTCCGGAGAGACTTGCTCGCCGCGGAAGCGGGAGAACGAGCCGGAGAACAGGTCGTTCATTCCGCGAGCTTCAACTTAAAAGATTCCTGGAGCAAATCAGTTGATACCAGAGAATCTGGAATGAGCATAAATTGAACAGAGTAATAGGAGGGAAGGCCTGACTTTAAAGGCCGCTTTAAGCTCTGGCTTCTAAAAAAGGGTTAAAAAGTTATGGGAACTGGTCAAATAGAAGGCCAGTTCAATTTCAATAGCTGCAAGAGACGAAAGAGGACGTCAACAGGTCAAAACACGATTGGAAAGACAGAGACGGGACAAATGGGTAGAAGGGAAATTTCCCTCCTTTTTTAATGTTGTTTGCTGGGAAAACGCCTCCCTCGGAAACAGTCAAATAGAAGTGGGAGAGACCATGAAGAGTGTACTAGATGAGGAAGCTTCCTATGGTTGGATGGGATTATGAAGAGTAAGAAGAGCGGGTGATAATTGAGATGGGGATAACGGAGCTGCAAAAATGGAAATTAAAAGTGTGTGTCCACATGAGAATGGGTCGTAAGTATTGGACTATTGGCGCGTATATGCATGTACCATCTAGATTCATTTCCGAAGCAGCCGATTTGGGTTGCTTGGATGAGAAAGCGAAAGATAAACTAAAATCTTAAACTTGTGTTTCAGGATCGGAAGTTCGGAGGGTCCTTTTCGGCTGAACTCGACGGTGTCTTTCGCAGCGTGGATTGGCCGTTAGCATGCAATTATAGGTGCTTGCTCTGGTGATTCTTGTGGACATCCCAACCGTCATGGTCATCATCATCATTTTTTTTTTTGTTGAATTCAAACGTCCCATCTTGAATGAGTTCTATAGAAATTAAAGAAAGAAGTTACAAATTTAATGCTCGTTGGGCTATGCCAGTTGTTTAATTGGGAAAAAACCGTCTAATTCGCAATTTACGTATTTTGATATTTCCTACCTAAGAATGATGTTTGAAAGTTTGAAATAGTATTACTTTGCCATGGGAAACAGTCATTCTAAAAGAGACAGTTTTTCTCAAGAGATCAATAACATTGCCCGCGTATTATAAATTATTTAATTTGCTCCTGTTCATCCTTATTAATTATATGTACCATAAAAAAGAATAATTAACTTATTTTTCCTTTCCACCTTCTATAAAGCCTGCCTTTAATTATTCTGTCAAGATCCATCAAAAGAATTTAGATATTTGAACTAACAATAAAGCACAAAGTCATTTTTATTGAAACAGTTCCAGTGCTTATCATATTGATAAGCATCAAATCTGAGCCGAGAATGGGGATTCGGTGAGTGGAGAGGTGGTAGAGATTTCGAAGTGTATTCATTTGGACTGTGACTTTGAGATTGCTGTAGCAGTGCTGTGGTTTAGAACATTGGGTTGAGAACTGAATCGTTTAGTAATTCTATTTGCAATAGTTTAGTTGAACGATTGTACTCTCTGATTAAGAGTAAAATTGATCTTGATTACTGAATCGAGTTGAGTTAGTTCTTGAGATTAATCTGATTTACATTCAAAGTAATATGCAGTTGCAATTGCTAAAGAGAATTTGGTTTTATTGAGCTATTCTGTTCTACCAAATGAGTAACCTACTATTAGACTATTAAAACTGTCTCGGTCGAGTGGTTTAAAAGTTTGATTGTAAGATAACTAAACAGTGGTTGGGTTCGCACGATGATTTTGGTTGAGAAACTTAATTATCATAATTGGACCAGGAAGGCAAGGCATGGCTTCCAGGGGAACGTTTCATTCATACTTGATATTCTATCATTCACTTTTCATCAGCTTATCCAGATAAATCAAGAAACTATAAAGATTTATATTCTGCAATTTTGAACCAGAAAATTAAACAAATTATTGTTCATTTGTTTACAACTTTAATTTGTTAGTTAGTGGATTAGCTAAGGAATTTTAACCATAAAAAGGCTCCTTGTGAATTCAACCTAGGTTAGGCTATTGTTCTACATTTTAGCTTAATTTTAGTTTCTTTGAAAAGCCCTACAATTTGAACAGTCTAACTAATTATTTTTAAGTAGAATAACTATTTTTTGAAAAAAATGATAGGTAATAAATTATCTCTATTTTAGATTCTATACCAATAAAAATTAAAAAAAATTAAATTCAGATAATCTAAATGAGATACAAACAACCCAGATATGATGATGAGTTTAGGACTTTAGGATGCTCGTCAAAATTATGAGCATTAAAACTGGTTCTTATTTTCACTCGAGTTGTGTGATAACTGAGAGGTTAAACAAATTTAAAAATTGGTTCAGCACTTGAATTAAAATTTGTAACCCTCTCACTTGTTGTGTTGCCCCCATGCCCCTTGTTAAATTTCCTTTTGAATGCAAATAGAAATATTTACATAATTGTTTTTCAACATATCAAACATATTTTTATTTTTAGTTGTCAACATATCAAATTTTATATCAGTTTATCGCCATTGCCACATGTCCTGCCTTATTCCATTAATGGAATGGAGGCTTCCAATCTTCAGAAAAAAAGACACAAGGCCTAACAAAAATTTATGCACGTCTCATACTCAATGCAGATTACGTAATAATAAATATCCCATAAAGAATGCACATATAAGCCTCCAATGAACAGGCGACTGATCCTCTCATCTAAATTAATTACAGAAAAAGAATGTAATGCCCAAAACCATAAACTGCCCCAGTGAAGCCATCCCCCCACTTTTCCTCGAATTGATATGTAAAACTGTTGAAGATCACCGTACCTCTCAAATCATGTCAGTCTCACTTCAGCCAGATACAAGCCCTGGAGCATAAAATCTCTATGAATCCCACAAGCATCCCGATCTACATCACTAATAATCGAGACTAATTTCCAAGATTAAGCCGAAGGAGGAGGAGGCGGTGGTGGTACAGGTGTTTGCGGTGATGATGAAGAACTGCCACCAGTATTTTCCCACGGCCTCACAGTGAATAGCACGACGAACAAGATAATCACAAGCAGAAGAATAATAGCATAACAGGTCCATTTCCTGGTGTTTTTCTGGTGCTTCCTTGCTGTCTGTAGGTTCTGGTTTCCCCTCTTAACAAACGAGCTGGCTCTCGCCACATGGCTCTCAATATCATCCAATTGCTCGCCTTGGGATTGCACCAGCACTGCCATGTCCAGGAACACTTGATGCAACTCCTGCAGATTCTTCTCCAAATCTTTCACCGCATCGTGCCTCTCTTGAATTTCATTGATGGTGTCCAGTATTCTTCCCCTGCCTTGCTCCAGGATGGCTTTCCTAAGAAACGTTTCGCTCTCACCTGCACACAGTTAAGTGGATCGTAATTATCAAGAACCTGTAAAAAATAAAAGCATCTCTCCATTTAACTGATTTTGCAAATTCGGGCGTATTTCAGTAAACAAGTTGGTGATTCAAGAACTGATGGTTAACAAAGGGAAGAAACCAGTGCTATAGCGATGTTTTGTAACAATTTTTTTGGTAGTCCAAACACAGAGCAATTATCCATGACAGCTCCATATGAATCAGAACTATAATAAAATACAATAGAATGATAATAAAAGAATACAAGTGATGTCACCTGTAGAAATCAGGAGGTCGACGGTCTTCTCGTCGGGATTCTCTCCGGTGACCGTGAAATACCTGCGCTGCACGGTCTCCCGGTACTCGACGGAGATTCGCTGTCTGAGTTCATTGAAACTGTCCATGCAGTCCTTCAGGTTCTTCCTCAAACCGTTCACCACAGATGTCCGTGTCCGGTCCGATGACGAGCCGGGTCCACAATCGGGAAGGCTCCGGCTGGCGGCGTTGGATCGCTCCAGTGCCTCCAGTTTGATCTTGATGAGCTTCGCCTTCTTAAGAGCAAGAGCAACGTCGCTGTCCATTCGAGAGCGAAGGTCCTTGACGGCCTTGGCATTGTGAAGGGTCTTGCTCTGCTCGTGAGAGCTCTGCAAATTCTGGTTCAGTCTTTCCAGCTCTTTAAGCTCGTCCTTTATAGATTCTACTTCCTCGAAGAACTTGTTGAGATCGCCGCCGCCGCCAATGGAGGCCATGACAGAACCCATCTCGATGTCATGGTGTTGATGATGGTCAGGCGACGATTGCTCGCTACGGAAGCGAGAGAAGGAGCCAGAGAACAAGTCGTTCATATTCAGACGCAATGATCTTCAGGATCCAAAGGGAAGGATTAGAAAAGAAGAAAGGATAAAAAGAAACAAAAATGAAATTAAAATCTGACAAAGAAGAAGAAGAAAGAAACAGAGAGGTATAAGAGCAAGGCATGGGGAAGGAGGACATTTATGGTTATGGGAAAGTGGTTAATGAAAAAAAAAGTCAATGGAGGTAGGGGACGACGTGGCAAATGAAAATCTCTGCTCAGAGGGAGAGAACGGAGATGGAAGAAAGCGCGTAGAGGTTCGGTTTGAAAAGGCTGGTTTCCTGGATCCTGACATGCCGGAATTTTCCATACGCGGGTTCGAGGATAACACCAATTTCAATTTTTAATTTGCAACGGCATTTGTTAAGATTAAATATAATTTTAGCATTAAATTTTTGTTTTAACACGGAAAAAAATTTGCATATCACGGTTACTTAAACAGTTTATTGCGTAGCAACTACAAAAAGTATACTTTAAGATAACCATGAAATTCAGAAATCTCAAACATTTGATATTTTGAAATCTAACAGGAACTCTAAACAAATGTTGTATTTCGACTGCACATGATTCTTTCCCCTTCTTTTTCTCTGCATTTCCCATCTTCACTGTTAGCTGAAATTCAGGTAATTCCAGTTTAATATATTTTTAGAATATATTTTAATTTTTCCCCATTTACTTCTTCAGTCTTCGCCGTTAATTCGAACCTGTGACGTAAGGGAGATTGGGAGAATCATTAGTTCATTTTCCCGAATCAACATGACAATGGAATGTGCACTTATTTTTTTTGTTTATAATTAAAAATTATAATAATAGTTGGATAACATAAGAAATCTTGACTGTTGAAATTTTATCTAGATAGAAATAAAACGGGAGTATCGTTGCCATATTCTTCGTTTGTTGCACGCTTCGTAAATACTCTACCAGCGAACGAAGCCGTTCAACAATCCCAACAAGAATATAGGAATTACTGATATGGAAGTTTTTTTCTTTTCAAAATGAATTTGAAAAAAAGGGCTACGGGGCACTCGCATGAGTGTGAGGGCTCGAGACCATGAAAATAATTTCTAAATACCCTACTTATCTAATTCCAAAAACTTCGATAAGCAGAAAGCTTTTCAATAAATAAGAGGTCATAAATTTAATCTCAATCATAACTTTAAATCATTGGAGCACATTATTTTAAAACAAAAATTCAATAAACTTCTGACTCAACAGAGGAAGATTAAAAGATATCAAAGTATTTGATACTAAATAGAAACTTCAAAATTTCTCCCATGCACTCATTGATCACATTTATACACTAAATTTATTTTATGAATGCATGATATCCAGGTCCGATTTCTTTCCTTCCAATAAGAACCTACCATATTTTGGAACGGTTATCCTCACTCCAACCTAATACAGATGGTTGTGAGCAGTAAGATTGTCTTCATAAGAATACTTGTTCAAAAGCTTTTTTTTTTTTAATCAAAAATATATTTCTGCAATTATTCTGTGAACAAATAATGAATATTTTTATCCTATCCCTTTCCTTACGTATCACAGTTCCTTGATCCTATTCATACTTAACAATACACCGAAACATAATATACAACTCAGTAACAAATCAGATATAGAATTCAAGCATCCGTGAGTGATACAGCATTTTTGCCAACTTCTCATGTGGATTGGAGCACAGTTAGGTAGTATGTATATCCCAGGCACCTTCCTGACCGTTGCCTCGTTGCATCTTGATCTCCCCGACCTTCAGCCAGAACAAGATTCCAATGCAATGCGTAATTTGACAGATCATATATCCCAGGAGAGAACACACAGATCTGAAGGGGAATTTCAGCTGAGGACATAGACTCTAGGTGGATATTGGTCGAGCTTGATCCAGACCAAATGTACGGGGAGACACTTCCTAATGATAGAGGCTTTTCGGGCGGTGTCCCACTAATATTGGATGGGACCTTCACTTCATTCACTGGTGTGACGGGACGCCACCCTCCTTGATCATCAGGAGAAGATGCTGACTGAGGCATGTTTACACTGTTCAGATGCCCATCATTGACAGCAGAACCTGAGGTGGTAATACGGACGAAGGCGGTGGCATCAGAGGAGTTGTGAAGATGCATTTTCAGATTTATTTCACAAAAGGATGCAGAGAAATTATGATGTAAGGTTCGAGGGCCATCCAATATCCATGAAATAGGGCCCGTACTTGCAGTACTATCAAGAGAGAAAACAAGAGATTAATATAAACCCAGAAAAAGTGAGTAAACAAGGAATGCGTGAATGGCAAAAATCTTTCAGAATGTCAATCAGAAGCCTTAGGTTTGAAATAGGACTTGCCTGCAATGGCACGCGTAATGAGACATAACAAGAGGAGGGTCAACAGACCCGGTATTTCTGTTACTCTGCAGTGGTCGAGAGATCAATACAAAATCAACAGTGTTCAGGTCTCTCTGTGCCTGCAACAACAAAGATGAAGCTCTCAAGCTCATATCAATAATAGAACATTGCAAAAGTGGAAATAATCCAAAGTGTAAGGACTAGGCAATACTCAATCCTACATGATTCAAACTCATTAATGTTGACAACATTAGCCAACTTAATCTTGAAGTTTCCATTTTTATTCAGCATTGTCTTTAAACCTATTGCTGTTGGAGCAATCTATACATGGCATTCACTAATGATTGAACATACTGATTTCTTATCATTAACTAGTCAGTTAGTTACCTAGCAACAAATGACAACATACTGAAAGTTTGAAAAATTAATAATGATGATGATGATTCACGTAGAAATTTCCACTCTGACAAGTTACAAAAATTATGTTGGGTTATATTTGTTGGGCTTATACACACTTTTAGCCCCAGAACCCCAGTAGTTCCATAAAAAATTCAATTTGGTAACCCTACTTTAAAAAAGCGCAACATTCCTAATTTTTTGTTTTTTTGACAATGTACTGTGTACAGGTCTTGACCCTTCACCATATAATTTATAGAAAATTTTCATGTCAAATTTATTAACAGACCAGGACAATATTTATTTTTCTGGCACCAAAACAAACTCAAAGTTGGACTCCAAGTCAGTAGACTATAAAATTTAAGGTGGAGATATGACAGATCAGCAAAATTATATCGTTCTAAAACACTGAGCCAATATTGTTTGCTTTGAACTACAAGGACCAAATCCAAACATTCATGAAACAGGAACTGATAGGCCAAGGCTGACTCACATGGGGTGCGTGAGGTGTCTGTGTGAAAGGGAAGCATATATTTTGAGGTATGTAGTTAGATGCAGTCAAGGAGGCAAGCGATCAGTGAGAGGCAACATATTGAAATAACTTTGGGTAAACGCATGCAAGTATGGGGATTTGAGGATTTATCAAGGATGATGCAACCTTAATGGTTCTATGATTTATCATCCGCCCATGTCCATTTCAGAGAATGCCCCAACATAGTCATGTTATATGAGTCTAGAACATAGGAGTCTGTCGCTAGGCATCTGACTAAATAGGATTGTCCAGTTCCTATAGAACCTATTTCTAAAATACACCTAAGGGGGGATAGGGCTAAGTGGAGCGAAAAGGGTTTTCCATAGGATGGGAAAACTATTAGCCCCAGACCTGGCTAAGTGAGTACCCTACCCATGCTCATCCCTCATCATAGGTGAAATTTTCTACAACTTTCTCACTCATGAAGAAGGAAATCATTAGATCACTGTCATTACATGTATCAACTAAGCGTGAAGAAAATATTGATGACAACAGATTCTAATACCAAGATATATTATACATGAGTAATGGGCTTGATACAAAAGATACATGCCTACCTCATGCAGTGATTCCAGCTGCAATTTTTCGTAATGGTGGAAATTGACCAAAGGCTCACTTCTCGTATCATAAAGTGAATCGTCAGTACCTTGAGGAACCAATTTGATATCACTTTTGACAGGCTTAGGAACCAAAGATATACTGTCCTTAGCAGTCGATAGGCTCCTGCAATTCTGATGGCAAACACTAATCTAATTCAACCAACTGAAAGCATCACTACATTAAGACACACATACTTTTTCAATAAAATCTAGATTGCCAGTATTTCACAGACAAAAGCATACATAGCAAAAAGACACAAGGACAGAACGAGTACCAAAAGTCAAGGGAATGCACACCAGTTCTGATAACTGAGCATTGCCCTATATAAAATCTGAAATATTATGATGTAGCCCTTTTCTATATTTCTTCACCACAACTTCTCAGCTTATAGTTCATTCTTCTTTTAATACTTATTTCCTATCGGTTACGTTCTCTTCTCTTTCTTTTTTTAATATCATAATCTTTAGTTCTCTCAGGAGGAAATATCAAAATATTATAATAAAAAATAAGGCAAAAAAAAGAAAGAAAATAAGAATTAAAAATCGCCACAGCATGCAACTACAACCAATCAGATCATCTGAAGACACTTGCATTTATCTATACTCCTGATATAATTGGACAAGAAAAATTGCCTACTGGCTTACATTCATAATAGTTACTATTTTACAACATTTGGGAATGACCAAAGTTTATATCAAAATGACCACTTTACTTATCACACTGCCTAGCTTTTTGATTCAAGTCATCTGCTGTTAATAAAATCATCACATGTTCCCAATCCCAATAATATTTCATGAGAAACAGGCAAAAATAATTAATTACTTACTTTTCCACTAATATACACAGTTATGTTCTCCATCAGGTTCTTAATATAATTGTCAGTCTAACCTACGCAATCACTTTAACTGCTTTGATGATTGATCTTTTGACATCTTGCTATCACCCCTCAAAATGAATTCTCTCCCCCATGCCGTCACAGAAAGCATGTTTTGGAGATGGATCACAAAATTAAAGCCTCGAATACAAACCTTTAGCGTTAAGAAACATGATATTGATTGACCAGCCCTCAATGATTGTGAAGGAAAAATGGTATCAACAGGCTGAAGTAATGATATTTCCCAGTTGCTCCCAACAGAGGACAGCTGATTTACTCGGAAATCTTCTGAGGCAGTCTTGTTAACAACATCCATTCGAACAAGGAACTCTTGTAATCTCAATGGAGAAGGACTAATTTGAAAAGACAAATCCAATGATGGCAATACCTGTGGAAGTAAAACATTAGAATTAACAATTAACTTGATTAACAACGGGTAAACAGAACCTCTAGAGCCTATACATGCAAACCAAAAAATTTACAACAGCATAATCATTCTATATATTTCCGTTGCTGTGACAAGAAAGACATTTGAAGAAAGAAAAACAAAGCAAATTAAGCTATATATCTTTCACTTCAAATATCTATTATATCAACCTGTAGATTGTATTGTAACCGAAGAATACGGTATTTGATGGCATTTGATATATCTCCAATTTCATAATATATGCTCATATATAGAGAAATATCGCCAGGAAAAGCTGCCCTAAACCAAAGAGGCCATGCAAAGGGTGTAGCGCCCTGAACTGAAGTGCCCTGAAAGAGTAATTCATGAGACCATAATGTGAATATTAGCCTTTTCAGATCAGACTTATATTACAGAACTTAAATGAAAATCACTCCATACTAACCTCTGGAAACATAAAGACTGTGTCAGACATGTTAAATGGATTAGCATTTGCACCACTTGGTATTGAATCTACCTTCTTTATTAAGCAAGCTGGAAGCTCTGACTTCATACTTTCCTGATTTCCAATATTCAGAAATCTGGGATGACTTATCTTCATCTTCAGATTCTGCCAGAATCCAAATTGAATAAGCATGGAGACAAATGACAAAGCAGGAGAAAACCCAGTTTAGGCTTGACATAGGGAAGCCAGGCTACATCCCTTTTGGTGAAATTATGTGTCAGCTCTAATTGTTAGCAGGTGTAATTGGCGCCATTAACAATTGAAGACTTACTCCCCCCACCCCCAACCCCAACCCCGCATGGGGAAAAAACAGCTACAGCAGGCCATCAATAACAATTCCTGACAATCAAGGCTAACCATACCTAGATAATTTGATATACAAAAAGAATTCAAGAAATATTTATAAACAGAAAGTAGTAACCAGTTATGGTAATTAAATTCAAACAGTTACCTTGACAGGAAACTCTGATGGGTTTCTCAACTCCAAAACAAGGTGCCGTAAATCTCCCACATATGCCTTGTCGGGGAAAGGGTGAATGGACCCTTGAAGCTTGGGTATGCTCTGTTATTTTAGCCGAGACAGAATTGTTTGTTAGGTCTAATCTTGAGATTACAAGAAGAGGACTCAGTTGACGTAAGACTAATGAAAAAAGGATATAATAGTAGCAAACACCTTAATCACTAAAAACTTTAAGTTTTCATTAGCTGAGCGCTTCCCTTTCCTCTTTCCTTTCAAACCGTTCTTCTTTACGTGATTAAAGTCAAAGTCATGAAAGCCGACTATAGAACCCAACAATTTCCACCTAACACCAAGAACTTCCAGAGTACCTTCTTCTCTTGGAGTAACTGATAGTTGCACCTGAATTGACAAAGTGAAATTTATAAAGTTGGCAACAAGAATGCAAAAATATAGATATTAAAAGTTTCATTGCGTCTCTATTAGACAAAGGATACATCATATTTGGACCTTAATTCAGATAGCACTTTTCCAGAAAGACCAATTATTTAAAGCTTTCAGAACTGAAGTCTAGTGTCATTTTACAAACACATAAATATGAAAATATGAACATCCTATTTTTGAACATGAAAACAATTCATATGGTTTCAGTCAAAGCAACGTCATTTCACCTCAAATGCAGCCCTGCTTTTCTAACCATGATAGCTTCAAAGAGGAGGAGCTGATATGAGAAAGGAATTCTAAAATGATATAAACTCACCATGGTTGTTTCACCACCTCTTAACAAGAAGTCAACCTCCGACACCAAAAACGAATTCTCAGAGCTCATGTCCCTGCAGTCACATAGCAAAAGGATAAATCTATCTTTGAAATACAAAAAAAAAAAAAAAAAAAAAGCAAATGTGAAACTAACAGGATAAGATACATACCTGCAGGCTGTCAACTCTTCACATTCACCTACACTATCATTTTCCATCCTTGAAATATTTTCATCTATACAGCAATTGACAAACGATTAGCATCAAGAAGAAAGGTAAAAATATGAAAATTTGATAGATATTAAAAAGATGAAGAATCCTGACACGTAAATGACAATGTCAATGAAAACTCAAAGCTTATCAGGTCCTACTTCAACAGTACCGGGAAAATGCTTGCATATAAGGCTAACTCCAGACACAGGAATCGGTATTTGAAGTGGGTTTTTGAATTCGACGTTCACCTTCACAGCTTCTGTAATAGGGTAGTGAAACAATGCATAAGCTTCATAAGAACAAGCAAAATGAGAAACAAAGGATAGTGTACTAGGTGAGATCACGATTACAGTTCAAGTTTCTGTGCTTACCAATATTAACAAAATTAGCATGAGACGACAGGCCATCTAATTTTTTCATGAACATCCGATAAATGTCCAAATCTGATTGCTTAATCTTTCAAAAAAATATGGAATTGAGCTAATGCAAATATTATTCATGCTAATTACCTGATCCAAGGTTTAGTTGAAACTTGAAAGGCAGGGCCTTCATCATTTTGAAACTTTACCCAGCCCCTCACACAAATTTGTTATATAGGGTTCAAGGTTCCAATCTTCCATGTAAGTTCCAATTTTTTGGGAACCTGAATGATCTCTTATGCCCTCGCTCAAGTCTTTGCATATCCTCCTAATTGGATCAGACAAGGAGGGCAAGGTTTCTTATTTCTACTGTGTTTATCCCCGTCTCCTTCCATTCCATAACAGACTTTTTGAGCAGTTTCATTAGAACTTCCAAGCAATCCAAATAAGATTATTTCTAATATTTCGTGAATGGTCAGGCAAAATAAGCCTGTTTATTCTAGCAGTTTTGTCCAGAACTACCAGCGGCCTACACCTAACACAAACATATGTTTCAATAAACTTAATAGAATTTCAAACTTAAGCCCTTTTTCAAACAAGATGTTTATTTCTAATTGCATATTCTGTTTATTCCTTTGTGCTCTTTCTTAAAGAAATAAAATATTCACCGAGACAAAAGAAAAGTAGTACAACCAGGAGAACAACGAATCACCCTTTAGCTAAATCCAAAGCCTAAATTAAAGGACTTCAGCTCAAAATCATTTTGCAAGTCCATTCAAGAGCCAAAGCAGCCCACCCATTTGTCAAAATGTAGAGAGGAAAACAATCATTACTTATCCCAGGAGTAAAAATAATATTGGAAAGAAAAGTTCAAGAAGTGATATAATTAATTCTTAAATTTAGTAACTTCAAATGAAGACCTATCATGTTCATACCTCCTGCAACACAAACACTTGATTCTCTGTATTTTTTTGATATAAGCTTTGATTGCAACTCCAACCAATTACTCTTCGTAGTAGAGAATGATGGTATTATTTCTTCCTCCAAGGAACGCCACAAGCTTTCTCTAGTGTTAGCCTGAAAATTTTATTATAAGCAACACCTTAATTCATGAGACTATATCTATGAACCCCTGAACATTCAAATACAAATATGGAAAGAATAAACGCACATAGACAAAATTTGATTTTTCACATAGCAAATATCAAGGGATGCATAATTTCAGGTGCCAGTGGGTAACTTTGCAAACAACTTAAGAGTCAAATATAAACATCATCTTCTCTGAATAAGTTGATTATGTGCCCCATGGAAAGATTCTCCAATAAGGTATAAAATTATCAGATTTATCTGAAACTCGAAGGAAGGCAGATTCAAGTGGTCAGTTACATATGGATATTTATAAGGGTCAAGGACCCAAGATACTTTAAGCCTTTCAATCCACTTTGCAAGGGGTAAGGCTTGACTAGCTGGTTGGCTTCTAATTTCTTATGCTTTGCAGCCAGTATGACCCAAAAAAAAAAAAAACTTAGTGAATAGAAGTTTTAGTTGGTTATGAATGATTTGACATTAAGAGAATCTCATATATCTATTCCTTTATTGCATGACTAAAAGATGAAGGGATACAACCAAGTATCCATTTACGAACCCAAGGGAAGAGATGCATTTTGTAGGTTAAATAGAAATTTATACAGAATAGTAACTTGACAAGTCTCTCCAGGAAAAAAGACAAAAATTAAGGGTGATAAAGAATAAGATCACCCAAGATACCATGCCAACACGATGCCACTGTATGTCACATTTATTCATAATAGCATCATCCCTATCTTCTAAGAGATTATAAACTTCTAAACAGTAATCATCAACAAGGGCTAAATAGAAAAGGCGGGGCGAACAATTTGAGAATTAAAACATGACAATTTATGTTTCTAGACCCAGAAAAAATGGAGCACAGAAAGTGACTAAACTTACAGCTGAAGGTGATCCAAAAGTTCGGTGGTCTTCAAAGACGACCTTGAGTGAAGAAATGTTGATTACAGGCAACTGAAGTCTTGATACTTCAAATGTTCGTCCTGTTTTCTATCATATAAAAGAAAAATTAAGACAAGTGTTAAATTAATTAGCTCTTGTCTAACTCAGTATTTAAAAGACATCCCAGAACTCAAAAAAGAAGCCACAAAATAATCTGACTGGTTGCCAACTATATCATACATATAGTGCAAGGAAACTTATTTAATTGTAAATCAAATTATCAATCTTAGGAGCCCATAAAAGTTCTATTAAACAAAAACATTAAGTTTTGAAATACAATACTCCAAACAAATAAAATTGAAAATAACAAACTAGCAGGTTCTAAACTTTTGAAAAGCCACCATCACCTGAACTATTTGAAGAAAGTCGCCCAAAAATAACTCCTGTGTTGTCTTGGACTGGTGACCACAAGCCAAGATCTGCAACATATGCTTGACAGCCACATCACACATCCCAAGAGAAGCATACCACCTAAAAAAACGTCCTTTGTTAAATACAACAAAAAGTCTGCTGAATGCAGATCCCATAGTTTATTCTGATGAGAATCCATGTATTATTGCTGAACAGGGCCTAACTTACTGTCCTATATGGAAATGAACGTGATCTTTTATATGACTCCATGTAGTTCCCCTAAAAACAGAAAGAGCACTTCTGTATGTTCGAATTGCATGTTTGATCTGCTCAAGACCAGGCATGAAAATTAGCAAGAGAAAGGACCACATCACATGGAATAACATTTCTGCGAAACTGTGACAGACCAATACCTGATCACACTTGTTATAATGGTCCCCAGAAAGCACAAGATGAAATCCAAATTTACGTAACATTGAAGGTTTAGACAATAAGTAGCAGTAGGATGCTTGTTCAAGCATTACAGCAGAATGTAGGACATCCTAAAAAAGATAATTTTGTCAGCAGCAGAAGAAATGCTTCCCAAATAACTCTTTTTTAGAGCCCAAATTAAAATGCACTACCTCACCACAAATGCGGAAGTAAATAGGAGCTGCCTCCTTATATAGATCTCGTGCCAACAACATTTCTATCCACCAGAGACCACATCGTGTGGCATTTTGCTGCCCAGATGATCCGAGTTTCTGGACATAATAATCTTGTAAACCAACGTGACAGCAAAAAAATAAAGCAGTAATAGAGCAACGTCCAAGAAAAAAAGTATGATCTAATAAACATTTATCATCTGAAAATAAATCATACATACTAAGTAAGTGTTAAAGGCATTTTCCATGCAATATTCAGCTTCCTTTCTTGATTGGTCCAACATGAAGTACGCAAGTCCCATCATTTCCTGAAACAGCAGGGCGCACAAACCAAAAATGAGTTCATTGATCATTCCACAATCAGGTAGCATATAATAGTGATATGGATAGTAACACAGGGATCTAACTGTAAACTAGACACTTTTCTCTCATGCATTTCACAGAAACTGATAAATGAGTCATACATTTTATTTTATACACATTAACACATTAACGTTCAAGAGAGTAACGCAGGAAACTCCACTTATCTCTAATTCAGAAAATAAGCATAAATCTACTGCAGTATCCTCCCACCATTTCTACACCCCAAAAAAAATTGCATAGTCTAACCAAAACATATGTAACAAACCATGCAGCATAAGAAGACCCTTTCCACATGGAAACTGGGATTGATAAAACATGAAATTACCTGTACCCCAGCATAGCGTTTCCAAGCTTTATCAAGCTTGTAATCTGTGGAAATCAAGCGATAATTTGACAAGGCAAGTTCATAATCCCTTAACATGAAAGCATAATCACCCAAAACTCGAATCTGGGATTCAGTGGAGCTGAAGGAATACCTAATAATCAAGAAAACAAAGACTATATTAAAGAACAAGAAGAAGGAAATTAGAAGCACAGGAATCTTAGTAAGATTCATGCATAGCATACATGGGACCATTAACTGAATCTGTGCTATCTTCTTTCCCTTTTCTCCACCATAAATTTTTAAGTTGGTTTCTAAAGCCTTTCCGTGTTGCAGAAACCTAAACAAAAGAAAATATTAAATAAAAGTAAAGAGTAATGAGAATATTCAAAACAGTAGAAGATGTAAAAAAACACCACACTCATTAAAACAAAGGAAAAAATTAATATAAAATACTTGTTGGTTGAGCACACGAATCTTTTGCTCCATGCTTGGAATGATGTGCTTGGATGATAAATCTTGCATTAGATCTTTAATCTGTACTCAGGCCAAGTAACAAAATAGTGTATCAACAGAGAACAAATGTTATGTAAGTAATTGTCCGTAATGGCAGAAGGAACTTACCATAGTGATATCATCAGTATTAAGAAAGAAGCCAAGATCTGGACCAGGAGAGACGTCAGAATTCTGCCACAAGTTACAGTAAACAACATTTATATGAACAAAAATACCAAAGAAAACAGAGGCCCAAAATAATATCCGAAAGCTGAACCGAAAACGAAGAATCACTTCTAATTAAAATATCAAATTAGCTTGAGTCCTCAGAACAAACTCACATAGAAAGGCCTGTAATGCCAAAAAAAGAAAAAAAAAAAAAAACTCACATATGAAGCCCATGGGTTCTCTTCACGTTTGATTGGAGCATCAGTTGAAGAATTGATACATAGCAGCGCACAGTCACTAGTACCAAACGTATTCCTCATTTCTGTTAATATTTTAGTTGCCCTGCCCAAAACAAAATCATGGCATGTAAAAAGCTCATCAAAACAATTTCCACGTCAGATGTACTATGGAAAGTGTTCTCAGCAAACTATAATCTTAAGGTAGTTAATTTATGATTGATTTCTTACGTGGATTCCTTGAAAATATTCAGGATGAGCTAAGTTCTGAAATCCAGACTCTGAAAGTTATATCTATATATATTTGTTATTAGTTTTTCTCCCTTCTTCTATTGCCTACAGCTTGGGTGGTAATGTCATGCCCTGTGTGCCCTCTTTCATATGAATGTTACTTGTAAAGATAAAATAGTTCAGTTGCATGCCTACTCTGAACGAAAAAGATCATCTAAATATCCAGCAATACTTGAAAGAAAAAGAGATGAATCAACCAGGGGTCAAAAGAACTTCAAAAACTCCCTCATGTATACACAAAGAATGATCCACTTCCTGCGACATTCATATCCAATAAGCATTCAAGGACTCAACTCCAAGCAATCCATGCTATAATAAGAACAAAGACACCCCCTCCCAATCATGACAAAGAATGGCTCAATCCAAAAAACACTACTATAAAAAATTTTCTTTTCACATGAAGAAGGAAGTTATGATTCTGTCAAAAGTAATGACAGCGAGTACCTGTCAGCAGGGCCATCTTGATTATCATGCACTAATAAATAATGCTTCAAAATCTTTGGATCCATCACGCCATCATTAAGAAGAGAAGGCAGCTTGTTGGTGTTAAATAGGTCAATAAATCTGTTAATTGGTTGTTCATCCTTAGAAGAAACAGCCAAAAGACCTGCAAGTTACTTAAAGGTGAGAGGAAGGGGGGAATTCAATCAATAAAAAAGCTTAAAAGGAGGAGATTTTCATGAGGGTTTATTTGTGTATAAAATCTACTATACTTTTCAAGCCAGTTATAAACAGGATATAAGAATGCTGACTAGTTCTAAAAACTTACATGCCACTGGATGATCAAAAGCTTCATGGTCTGAAAAGGAGACCACACGGATAAGTTCTTTGTTAAAAATCTGAAGCCAGGATGGTGCATTTCCGGGTTGAGAATCTAGAAAAAGCAATTGTTAGTCAAGCACATTCTAAGATAACTATAGAATCTTAAATACCTGATGAAATGAAAATCCTAAAATTTACCAGAAACAAGACATACAAGCTCGCGCACAAGCTAACTAAATTAGACACAGCACAGCTAACGTCAAAACAGTAGCAGCAGCAGGAAACAAGACAAACTATGACTAACACAGATTTTACAAACAGTATCACTTACTCTCAAGTACATGATTAATTTCTGGTGTATCCGAACTCAGCTCACTGAACTCTTTCTCCCCCGCCTCTGTGATAACTTGCTTTAAATGCTCTTTAGCTACCTAGTTAAAGGTGAGGACACACAAATGGAACCAGATAATAAATTCGGAGTGCAAAATATATTGACACATTAGTAGTTCTGTAGTGCATTTCCCACGACAAAATATTGCTAAAAATCGACTTCGCACGAATGGGCAAGAAAGAAGTTCAAACTAAAGTTGTTTAAGCCTTTGATACAGAATACCATCTAAGCCGAATTAGTTTAAATTCCATCTCCAGATGTTTGGATGCCCATACGTGTACGAATAGATTGTCATATGTTAATCCGTGCAATATTACCAACCAAACCATAGCCGAGTCATGCACCGATGAAATGACGCGGTGGACAATTACCTCCAAATCTGGCTTCCTGACATCCGAAGCATAATATAATCGCAATTTGAACTTCTGAAGCCTATAGGGCTGGTCACTGGCAGTCCTTACTGGCACTGCAACACACAAGCCGATAAAACTTGTTACGACTCTTGATATCAGGCACAAAAATGCAGGCATTGTCAGAAACTGAAGGACTACCGTCGATGTTGTTAAAAGAGCTGAATGGGGTAAGCATCTGAAGAAAGCTGAGGCCATTCTTGAGGCAAGCATCTTCGACAGAAGGAGTAGAAAGTACCATCACAACTGGAGTGATCTCGTCCAGTAACATCTGGCCAAGCGGCGTCTTCGCCGGATCCATGATCTTCCTGTTTCACCGGTGGTTGGTAATTCGCCTCACTGGCTGAGTCAGATGCGCCCGTTGAGGAAATGATTTCCCAGGAATTTTGGCTGCTCACTGGGATCGGAACCGAGAGGGTGGGCAACAACGAGAAGGACAGAACGGCTTTATCGAACGACGTCGTCCTCGTTTCTTCCCTCTTTTTCCCATGGTTCGCGGGGGTCTTGGCTTTATCATACCGACCGCCCTGCGCCGTTTATTTGTCTAGGCATTTTGCCTTCCTAACAGATTTTTTCTCCGATATTAAAATAATTAAATATTTATTAGTGTTAGACTAAAAATAATAGTTATCATATGCTTCAGACGGCAATCATCAATAATAAATTACATCACCAAATATTGATCATATTTTTCAAAAAATATTTTTCATTTTATTAAATTTTTTTGCCAACTTTCATTTTCTTAAATTACGGTATATAAATGTAAAAATATATCCATCTATGATCTGATATCCACTGTTTCCAGTTGACCTACAATCTGGTGAATTAAACCGGCCCTTGTCCGGTTCACTTGCCGGTTCGTTTTTTAATCCCACGATGCTTAGTGCTTGACACTCGCCAGTCACCAGGGACCGAGCTGCAGTGTTATAAATGTCCACCTGCTTTAGACCTTTGCTATTGTTTGCAGGACGCCCGCACGTTCCAAAACATTTCCGGGGCTGGCTACGAATCTCGACTTCCGTCATGTCTTACCGGCCCAATTACCGAGGTGGACGAAGGGGTGGAGCCGCATCTTCCGGGCGTGGCGCTGGCGGCGGCCGTGGTGGGCGCGGAGGGGGAGGGCAGAGATGGTGGGACCCTGCATGGCGAGCCGAGCGCCTGAGACAAATACAGGGCGAGGTAATATCATGGTGCAAATTATACTTCCATACAAATTCTTTATTAGTTATACAAGTATATTAAGGTAGATTGGGCGTCATGTTGTTTTGTTTTTAATGTTTGTCTGAGATGTTTTGAGTGACAAGGGGATTGATTTGCAAAGTTTTTAGTTGGCGAATTGGTTTGTAAAACTTAAAAGTTTAGATTTTTCATTGGTCTCTCTGAGGACACAGGCTTGTAAAATGATTCATAAGGACAGCTCAATGTTGTTTTCACGAATATTGTCTAGAAATTCAAATACTTCTTTGTTAACTTGGCTTTTATTTGTTTATTTATTTATTTTTGTGAGATGCAGAAGGAAGTATTTGATGAGAACGAATGGTGGGATAAGATTGAAAAGATGAAAAGAGGAGGAGAGCAAGAGATGATCATTAAGCGTAATTATGGTCGTGAAGGCCAGCAAACCCTCGCTGATATGGCTTATGAACTTGGGCTGCACTTGTGAGTGCTTTATAACTTAACTTTTTAAGTTTTTCATTCCGCAAAAAATTGAGGTGGGACAGCTCGTCTGAGCGCAGCCTTGTACCGTGTTTATCCAAATGAGCTTTCTTTCTTAAACTGAAAGACAGGGGGAAAATTTATCGGGTTGCCCATGTTACCTTACCTGGGGTTGAACTGCAGGCTGTCCTTTTAATTATTGCATGTAATATGCAACTGCTCCCACTCATCAACCGAGCGAAAAGTAGAAGCTCTGCATTCTCTTGATATTCTTTCGTTTTCACTCTCTATCTTTGATTCTTCTCCTCCCTGAAAGTTTGGTCCTTATCCAATCCCTGATGTCATATCAATGCCATTGTGTGCTTATGTGTGTTCTCTACCAGCAGTCTTATGGCGTCACGTTGGATTAAGGGATATTGTACAGTATACTTTACATGATGCTTCGTTGTGATTGATACCCATCTACCTTATATATACTCAGCAAAAGTTTTCTTTTCTTTTCTTTTCTTTTTTTTTTTTTGGATTTGGTCTGCGGAAGTTGGAAACTGAAAACTTTATTCGATATTTTGATAATATTTTTATTCTGTCTGACATTTTTTCTCTTGATTTTGTGCTTGGGCAAAGAAAGCCATGCATATAACAAAGGGAAAACTCTTGTCGTTAGCAAAGTTCCATTGCCTGATTACCGTGCTGATCTTGATGAACGTCATGGATCCACACAGAAGGAGGTCCAGTATATCACTATTTATATGCTGAATACCCATTTTTTGCCCAGAAAAATTTTGTCAATCCGATCATTTTCTGAGCTTTCTGCAGATTAAAATGTCCTCAGACATTGAGAGGAGGGTAGGATCTCTTTTGAATAATACACAACCCAAGGAGGCAGGATCAGTTAATGTGCCTTCCACAACAGCCAATGAGAAGCCTAAGCAAACAATAAGTACTATGAAACCTGTTCCTGCTGACCAGACTGATTCTTCCAATGAGAAACTTTGCGTTGAACTCAAAGAAAGACAGGGGAAAATGCAGGTACATGGTCTTTTTTGACTATAATATCATTTTTTAGCATTAATTTTGGTATAATTTCTTTACTTGTTTGTGTTGGCCTTTTAAACTCTTATCAGAGCTAAATTCTATTTATTTATTTGTAGGCAAGTGATAGTTTGAAGACAATGAAGTCATTTCGGGAAAATCTTCCTGCATTTAAAATGAAGTCCGAGTTTCTGAAAACAGTTAAAGAAAATCAGGTGGGTAAATTGTCTATTAATAACTCAATATAATGCCTTATACAACATAGTTGATTCACCAGCCCTGGTGTACGTAGCCAACACTTTTTATTCCTTATTAGATATTAAATGATCAAAAGAAGAGGGTTTTAAGTTTTAAATTTCAATTAATTGCATACTGTCCTTAACTTTCTGTTTCTAGGCGTGAAATCGATAATAAATTATATGAATTTCTGTCACTGAGGGTTTGACATGTTTAGCATTTGTAGATCCTTGAGAAAATGAAAAAGGAAGTAAAACCTTAAGTTGGTAAATATTCCTGGTTGGATAGGATCTGATTTAAAATTTTGCTTATCAGTTTATAGATTACAATGATGGTTCCATATCAAAAAGTAAACTTTGGCTTGCATAAAGTGCAGGTATTGGTAGTTTCAGGAGAGACAGGTTGTGGCAAAACAACTCAACTGCCACAGTTCATTCTAGAAGAGGAGATATCCTGTTTACGTGGAGCTAGTTGCAACATAATTTGTACTCAGCCTCGTCGTATATCTGCAATTTCTGTTGCAGCTCGAGTATCAGCTGAAAGGGGTGAGAGTCTTGGTGAAACAGTTGGTTACCAAATTCGCCTTGAAGCAAAGCGTTCTGCTCAAACACACCTCTTATTTTGCACTACTGGTGTATTGCTTCGCCGGCTGGTAATTTAAAATTCTTTTCCATCCCAAACAATTCCTGTTTTTCATGCTGTCTAACCTTGTTTGAATTTTAGTATGTTTCTTTGATTGCCATTGGTTTATTTTGTCCTGAATCTCAATTTCTCTTTCAAGGAAACATTTTATCTTCACTTCCTTGACTATAGAGTGTCATCCCTGGAGTTATAAGTTTTTTTGTGTAGAATGTATATACTTTACCTAGGATATTCATAAATTCTTGCCTGCAACTTGTGGCATTTACTTTTCTTTTCTGTTTGTTCAGGTTCAAGATCCCAAGTTAACTGGGATTAGTCATTTGATGGTAGATGAAATCCATGAAAGAGGAATGAATGAAGACTTTTTAATCATAATTTTGCGTGACCTTCTGCCTCGCCGTCCAGATCTGCGTCTCATTCTAATGAGTGCCACCATTAATGCTGACTTATTCTCTAAGTACTTTGCCAATGCCCCAACAATACACATACTGGTATGCATATTCTATAGATTTCAGTTCTTTTTCCCTACATATGTAGTAACTCTTTTTGTATATTTTGTGCCAGGGATTTACATTCCCGGTGGCAGAGCTCTTCCTAGAAGATGTACTGGAGAAAACCCGATACAGCATCAAGTCAGAGTTTGACAGTTTTGAGGGGAATTCAAGGAGGAGGAGAAAACAAGAAGCTCCTAAAAAGGATCCTCTGACTGAATTGTTTGAGGCATGTATATTTGACCTATCATACAGCGCAGGCAGTTTACATGATGCATAAAGATGCCATGAACTCTGTTTTGTCTTCTTGAGTTGCATTTGTGTTGGAAGGAGACTTTAGTGGCATGTCTTTTCAATTTTTTTTATTTTAAAGAAAAGGGGAGTTCCAGTGGTTTTTTTTTTTTAAAAAAAAACTTTCTGCCCGTAATAGTGCCTTTTGGTTTGAGAAAAAAACTTATAGTGGAGCAAAGTAGCTTCCTGTCGAGACCTGGATGTAAAATGCTTCTCTTTCCTTGGTATTGTAATGCTTTTGTTTGTGGTGCCAATGACTTTTTTTCATTTTTTCTTTTTCGGTGATTTTCTGAAAATTTGTTGACTAGCGTTTTCTTTAGGCTTTTCATGTCGTCAATTATACGGTAGTTGTTCTCTCTTTTTGAAGGCTTCTCACTGTACACAGGCCACTGTTTGTTTGTGTGTGTAGATTGACTTATGTAAATGCATGCAATATGCATGTATGATATTTTATGTTTTGTTATTGCAGGATATTGATATAGATAATCACTATAAAAATTACAGTTTATATGCTAGAAAGTCTCTTGAAGCTTGGTCTGGTTTGAAGGTTGATTTGGGCTTGGTATGTACTCTATGCCTTTGTTCATATGTTCATGAGTTAATTTTGGTGATTTCATTTTCAAACGGTAGCTCTGCTTCTCTTATTCCATTTTATTTATTGTGATTTTTCAGGTAGAGGCAACAATTGAATATATATGTCGAAATGAAGGTGATGGAGCAATTCTTGTATTTCTTACTGGTTGGGATGATATTTCCAAACTACTTGACAAACTTAAAGGAAATAACTTTCTTGGAGAGCCTAGCAAGTTTTCAATTCTTCCTTTACATGGTTCAATGCCTACCATGAACCAACGTGAAATATTTGACCGCCCTCCTCCTAACAAGAGGTAAGCCCTTCTCTTTTGCTGATCTTGTTTGACAGATTTTGCTTGGGAAAAGTTTGAGGAGTTTTTATGCCCTCTTTATGGATATCCGCAAATGGTTTCTTGAGGGGTTGTGTCTTGTAGAACTTCTAAAGGATTGGAAGGTTCTTTTGAGTGAGAGCCAGGTTTTTCCCCGTTTGGATCTAATTTTGGCTAAGATTTCTTTTCCTGTGTCTTTGTTTCTCTTCTCATCAGTAAATTAAAGCATTTCAAAGAAACTGTTAAATTGTATCAATGCTTTGCATCTGATGCAAAGCTGTTTTCCCCCCTAATTGTACTATAGTTGGCAAAAACATGATGGGGTGGGTTTTGCTTGTGGAAAAGTTAATAATGTGAAAGAAAGCTATCATTCAGTTTATTTAGCATTTATTTATGTACTCATTTGCCAAAAAAAAAAAGGTTTTGATTTATATAGTTGATGTTATTGTTCATATTAATTGACGAGTGTAATCGGACGTTTGGTTCACGAACTATGTAAGAGCTAAAAGAAGCATTCCGAAAATTATGGCAGAAGTTGCATCTATTGCACTCGTCTGAGATAGTCAAGGCATTTGGCCAATTATTAGATGATTAGATTACCATAGATTAATTGGTTCAACTAAGTGGGTGCTACTTGGATGCACTTTAAACTAAACTAATTCAATCTTGTTTTGCTGTTACTGGCTCCTTCAATGTTCTATTAGCTCACTAGAGCATTAGAGAATCATCATATCCCATGAGCAAGATATAAGCCTCTGTCCTTCTGCCTTCTTTATCCTGGTAATAGATATGTGCGGGATAGAATATTTTCTGTCCTGGTCTGTACAAACTTTTGGAAAATCTACCTGTATTGTTGGGCTGACACAACCCTTTGTTGTTATTTATATGTTATGCTGTTGCTGGTACTTTTAGAATTTCATGATAATATGATTTTCTTGTCATTTTGACCTTATACCCTTTTAGTTGTGTTGCAGTGCATCAGCTTTGTTAATCTGCTCTCCATGGTGTTGTTTAGATTAACATCTAACTGTTTTGCTACCATGTATCTTAATTTCTTGTCATTTTACCTCTTAGGTTTTGATTAATGTTATTCTGCCACTGTAGAAAAATTGTAATAGCTACAAACATTGCTGAGAGTAGCATCACCATAGATGATGTTGTATATGTCATTGACTGTGGAAAAGCAAAGGAGACTAGCTATGATGCTTTAAACAAGCTTGCCTGTCTGTTGCCATCATGGATTTCAAAGGCTTCAGCTCATCAGGTATTGAGATTGTAGAACTGCATTTTAAATTTTAATGACCCATGGGTGTTTTTCATGTTGGTGAACATCTTACACTTCTGTGGCTGTCTGGTCAAGCTTGTGATTATTGCTGAATTTCTTATTCACCATATGTTGTTTTCAATTTGCTAATCGGGGAGAATATGCCAGAGACGAGGGCGTGCTGGTCGTGTACAGCCTGGAGTTTGTTTTAGGTTATATCCAAAAGTGATCCATGATGCAATGCCTCAGTATCAGTTGCCTGAAATTCTCCGAACGCCGTTGCAAGAGTTGTGCCTGCACATCAAAAGTTTGCAGCTTGGTACTGTGGGATCATTTCTCGCAAAAGCACTTCAACCACCAGATCCTCTTGCTGTTGAGAATGCTATTGAACTTCTGAAAACAATTGGGGCATTAGATGATGAGGAGCAGCTCACTCCACTGGGTATCTTATGCTGCATATTATTCTCTCCATTTGTAAGTATTGGCTTTGGATGTTCTCTGAATTGATTTCATATAACAGGTCGGCATCTTTGCACCATACCCTTGGACCCAAATATAGGGAAGATGCTTCTGATGGGTTCTATTTTTCAATGTCTCAATCCTGCCTTGACGATAGCTGCTGCTCTTGCATATCGTGACCCATTTGTCTTGCCCATAAACAGAAAAGAAGAAGCTGATGAGGCAAAGCGATCTTTTGCTGGTGATTCTTGCAGGTGGGTTGTGTAGCCAGGCGCTGTGCTCCTTTCTGATAGTGTTACAATGGATTTTACAATTTTGACTTTGCGTGTCTTTAAATATTGAAATTCGAAGTATATTTTTTTATTCAGCGATCACATAGGCCTTCTGAAAGCATTTGAAGAATGGAAGGATGCAAAACGTAAAGGACAGGACAGGCAATTTTGTTGGGATAATTTTCTATCTTCAGTAACCTTGCAGATGATTGATGATATGAGAATGCAGTTTCTCAGTTTATTATCAGACATTGGATTTGTTGACAAATCCCGGGGTGCTAATGTAAGATTTTGGTCTCAGAATATTTATTAATTGTAATGTCTTTTCACATAACTTCCTCAAAATTTGCTTTCATGGGTATTGGTGCTCTACCCATTTTCAGTTGATGTTGAAAATTAAACAACCATTGCTTATGTCTATGCAGGCTTACAACCAATACAGCCATGATCTGGAGATGGTTTGCGCAATTCTTTGTGCAGGGCTCTACCCAAATGTTGTGCAGTGCAAAAGAAGAGGAAAACGGACAGCTTTCTACACTAAAGAAGTTGGGAAAGTTGATATTCATCCTGCATCTGTCAATGCAGGGATTCATCTCTTCCCTCTGCCCTATATGGTGTATAGTGAAAAGGTTAAAACGACCAGCATTTATATTAGGGACTCAACAAACATATCAGATTATGCTCTGCTTCTGTTTGGTGGTAATCTTACGCCGAGTAAAACTGGGGAGGGCATTGAGATGCTAGGAGGTTACCTTCATTTCTCTGCTTCTAAGAGTGTCATTGAGCTAATAAGGGTAATTTCTCTTAAGCTTTCGCCCTATTGCGGGATTGTGTGTGTGTGTGTGTGTCTCTCTCTCTCTCTCTCCCCCCCTCTACACTAAAACCTTGATATTGGCTTGAGCCTTGCATACTCAATATCTCATGGTAAAGGATTTGCAGAAATTGCGCGGGGAGCTTGACAAACTATTAAACAGGAAGATTGAAGAACCAGGATTCGACATTTCTGCTGAAGGAAAGGGGGTGGTCGCTGCTGCTGTTGAACTACTGCATAGTCAGAATGTAAGATGATCTATTTTCTAGGACTGACGGCATCCAGTTTGAATCCTTCAATTCAGGGAAAATTTATTGCGGGTGCCATATTGTTCGCGCGACTGTGGGATTGCGTCTGTGTGGAGGCTTCGCGTCGCCTCCCTCTGTAAGGAAGCAATCCCATATGGGGCTCCCAAGAGAGTGGCTCCCGTTCATGCTCTTCCCAGATATTATTTAGGACGATAGAAATATAGACAGTCTTGGTAGCAATGTCGTCTCCTCTAGAGTCCCTGTGCTCGATTTGTCCTCAATGGATTATACGTGTGTTGTAATTGACCAATAGTAATCATAGCAATCATTTTAAGCTTGACTGATTTGCGGAATGAGAAGGTATGTAATGAAAAGTAAATACATCAAATTGATTATAAAATTAAAAAAAAAATAAGTTTTGTATTCTGTAATTTGAAAAGCATGGTTGCAGTGAAAATTTTTTTTTGGGGGGGGGGGGGGACAAAATGGTCTTCATTGCATCTACTTTCCTGCCAGATAACTCAGTTTGTTGGGGCTTGGTTTTGAGCGGGTATTATTCTGTTCTTGGGTCAACAACTCTCTAGTGGTGATTGGCTGACTTAAATTCCTAGGCTTGTGAAATCTGGCAGCACCACAACACTGATCTGCTATTATCAGGACAAGTGGTCGAAATGAACCTTCCCATCATCACCCTTATGCCAAGCCAGTATTGGCGTTATGCGAGTACCTTTCCAATAAGCAAAATGGCTGTATCTTTCGATCATCAGCTCTTTCGTGGATGGGTTTTCCCCCTCGTATCCACTCTTCTTGAGAAGCCTTCATAGTTCATGTCAGTTTATAAGCAATAAGACGTGACTTGAGTCTCGTAAGACAGTTGATGTTTACTCCCCTCTTACTTGCAAGAGCACGCTAGTTGGAGACCTCACCCCTGTTGTTAATATCCAGCCTGTAGTGTTGGACATTTTGGACTAGCTTGGTGCCTTTGTTAATGATATTACTGACTTGTGCATATGCTCATCCAAACATAGAAAAGGGAAAGCAGCTACTATTTATTAAAAAAAAAAAAAAAGGGACAAAGAATGACCCTATAGGGGTTGATTATTGTTGAAGAATGAAAACTTATCAATTCTGAATCTGTGAACAAAGAACCGTTTCAAAAAATCTGTAAGACTTCGTGTAAAAGTTCGCTTGTGACATTTTACTGCCAATGTATCATTCAATGTTTCATCGAATGTCATATTATTACTTGGAAAATGTTTAGAAACACTTAAAAGTGCTTTTAAAAAAATACTTTTTTGTAAATCGAGACAAATTTCTCTACAGATTTATTTCTGTAAAATTACTTTTAAAATTATGATTCCAAACACTCTTTCTTAATGGTAGTTTTCTGCTTGCAAGACGTTTCAGTCAGAGAGAAGCATATCTGTTGGTTGCTTGGGATTCTTGTAAGATACACAACGAATTATGGAGTATTTCTTGGGTAAGAAAGCATGGGAAATTATAATTCTCTCCTATCTTCGTGGGCAAGCAAAGATCTTTAGATCCACGTGCGGCGTCCTGTTTGCAACAATTTAAAAGTTTGCTTTGAAGGACTCTCAAAATCGTGTCATCTCAATTCCAAGCATTGTCCATTAATTTACTTTGTTTGGCAATTTTTGGAGCTGTTTCTAGGGCAAGCATCTTGTTGAATGAGGATAGAGCGGTCAAGCGATTAGTCTTGGGCATCGATTTTCGTACGTTTCGTCAGCATTTTGCCACAAAACTAAGTGACTTTTGATGAGAAATCCCAGGTGCCCATGATCCAAGAAATCGGGGTCAACGATGGAAGTTTATATGATCACCGTGAGAGAGACATTCCTTCCTACAATGCTTGCTCTTCCCCCGTGAATTACAGACACACAGTAACACAAATAATTTGCTTATCAAAGTCGCTACATGCTCAGATAGTATAACTTCAACTTTTGGGTTAACAAATTATAGCTAAGGATTAATAACGTTATACGTAGTACCCAGCAAAGTACGTCTTTCATTATTCTGAACTTATATTAGCAAGAAAATAAGCGACATCAGGAAAAGAAAAACAAGAACAAGATGACAAAAGACTATGCCACTGCTACAAAATCCGCAGAGGCTTATAGTAAGACTTCATTTATTACAGAGGTGGAAATGAGGGATACTTAATAAGGGAGAGTTGGCCATTAATCTTATGACCAGAGATCTCAGAGCGGGACATCCGTTCATGGACATCATTAAAGAAGCTGGAAAGATTGTAGCTAGGGACTGGATATATAGTTGATTTGACATTCATGTGCAGAGATTTTGCTAGAAATGCTGATAAATCAGCTCATAAGATAAACTCCCAGATTTGAGTCTTTGATCATCCTCCATTAGCTAATTATGAGGTGATGAAGGATCAAGAAAGATTGATATAGTACCTGTCATTATCTCTCTGCGATTTCTTGTTGAATCCCCTTTTATCCAAACAAAAAGAGAGAAAAGTAATGTGGTTGGAGGCGTGTGAAATGGTAGTACCGAGGAGTTTGCTTCCTGAATAAGGCTCATATAGATGATGAAACACCGACACCATATAATTAGCCTACGGAACCTGTGAAGCACTACCTGGACTGCCTACACCCATGCATGCGTCCTCATGTGCACGCACGCCTCCATACGCATTCCCTCTCATCCTCGTCCACTCCAAACTTGCATATAAAACCCTCCCCTATGCCCACTTGATCATACCAGTATACCTGGCCTCATATATATATATATATATAACCCTTCTCTTTACTGATCTCTTTCAAGTCTCAGATGACGCGTGGAGACGATAAAAGAGATGATGGAGAGAGGTTGGAAGCATAATTCGGAGATATCACCGAACTGTCCCAGGTGTGGGTCTTGCAACACCAAGTTCTGCTATTACAATAACTACAGCTTAACTCAACCTCGCTACTTTTGTAAAGGCTGCAGAAGGTACTGGACCAAAGGAGGATCCCTCCGCAACGTCCCCGTTGGTGGCGGCTGCCGGAAAACCAGGCGCCATACTAGCAGGACTTTAAGAGTGAACTCATCAGCCTTGCCTTCACCAAATGCTGCTGCTGTTTCATCTTCTAGCTCCTCATCACCGGCCTCTGATCATGCTCCACATATTGATATTGCACTCATTTATGCCAATTTTCTCAATCAAAACCCAGATCAAGTGACCAGGAGCCGCATCATCAGTTTATGAAACACTAGGTTTTGATCCTTGCGTAGAGTATTCGAGTCTGTCCGACATAGTTTTTGGTCTTTCTGAACCATCCACAATAGAATCCCATTTCAACATTGCTGCGGGTCATCGTCTAGGTGGGCTATGCAACTCCATGCAGGAGCATAAGGGAGAGAGAATAATTGGCAGTAGCGATTTTGAGCTGCCACCATTGCCAGGTGAAGAGGTCGCCTCGCAGTATGACATGATGATGTGGTCCGAATCTCATGATGAGATGATGGTCGTAAACCAGGCGCCACTTGGAACTCATCAACCTCATGTAGATGGTAACTGGGGACATTTTCATTACTCAACCAATGTTTCTTTTCCCGGCCTTTGATTATACATTTGTATCTCTTCATTCTTGCCTTGTTTCAAGTCATTAAGGATGAATCAATATTACTGAATAACTATATATATGTAAACAATTTTACGTACTCTCGAGGTATTGATATCATAATAATTACACTGGGGTTTCAGCTATGTTCATGCTTCCAAGGTTTTATAAGTTATAATCGGAATTTTCAGTTCTGCAAAACATTCACTTGTTTCAAGTAGTCGTCAGCCGGAGGGCAAAAAGGTCGACTTTTCAATGAACAAGATATACTCGATCAAATCTGTAGTGCCCCTGGCTTTTAATTTGTGCTTTTTTTTTAATTTCCTTTTTTGGCCTCTGGCTTTCGTATTTAATTCTCTTGCGCTTACATACTGGATCAAATGGCAGATCCCTTTGTTCGTACAAACTCCGAAGGTGATTGTGCATTTGCGATTTGCACGGAAATAATTCACAAAAATATGAAAACAAAATGGAAAAAATTTGCCCAAAATAGGGGGAAATGATTTGAAAAGAGATAGGGGGACAGTTATTTAATCTTCTCCTTAAAATAAAGGTCGATCTGCAAAGTGTAGTCGAACTCGAATGGCTTGTTTTGAAGGGAGTGTGGATGCTCTAAAAAATATTTTGTGTAAATTGAAGAAAAATAGACAAGCTGCGCTCTCCCTCCTCACGCACACGCACACAATAGAGAGATAATGCGTGCTTCATAATTTATGTTTATCTTTCTTTCAAGTTGACAAAAGATTTCGAGAAAATCCATGCGCCTTATATGGTTCCGAGGAATATTCAAGAGTTATGCTGGAACAATAACGTTTATACCCTTAGCAATTATCATTAGTAATAGAAGAAAAACATTATTTAATTAATCCCTTCTTGCCATGAAAAGGGAATATAATTATATTACTATTTATAATTTTATATATAGGGGATAATAACATAATTTAGTTAAAATTAAAGATGAACTCGTATGTGCATCTTAAAAGTGACCATGATGATGGGCTTTATGCTGAGTGCTGACATGGACTGCCTTATACTTGTGTATGCTTCTCGTCAAGTTGTGCGTTGAAGTTCCTTCAAACCATCCATTTATTAGACCCGTCCCTCCCTTAGCACGTTAACGTTATTGGTGGTCAATTTAGCTGCAAAAGCTAGAAGTCATGAAATGCAACAAAATAATTAATCAGCTTTAATTTAAACGTAACATATAGATCATATATCACCACAATTTAAGAATCTTTCCATAGGCCAAGTTGTTGTTATGCTACAATTTAGGATGGTAGAGCGAATTTTCTCATGGAAATATTGACTTGAACTAACTAGGAGGCTTTGACAATTACAAGGGTCAGAAGGCTCCTCCTATATACATCTCAACCACTTGATTATATTGGTGGTTCTCAATAACTCTTCGAATTAAGTCCTTTTTTATATTCTACATGAATTAACGTTCTTCATGCCAATACAGATGGACTTTGAACTGTACAACCGACGAGCACATTATTTCCCGTATTCGGTCAGACAACCAGAGTCAAACATGCTCCAATTCATGTTTGGATCGTCGACGTTTGCATGTTAGATTAATTAAGCAGTAATTTCCAGTGGGGCGTTGCCACCTAATTAACTAACTGAATATAAAACTCTGTGCATCACATGATCCCAGAAACCACATGATCCGAGAAACATCAAATAATTTAATCCTTTTTGGACAAAGCAGATATAGTTTAATTTATTATACAATATTATCATATATCGCGACAATTTGAATTTGAAAGATTTATAACTACTATAACTCAATACTTGTCAAAGATCTTCCTAAAAGCAGGCCCAAATTATATGATCTTTTTTAAAAGCAGCTGGCCGATCGAAAATAATATGCATTTCAAGTATTTTCTCATATATATTATCAACTTTTGATTTAATATTATATGAGTTATAAATCTTTCTAAATCGCTAGCTCCTCAAGGACGCTATGTTCATGCCGCTAAATGGTGGTTGACGGAATTGGTAAGGTGCCATTACCGTGTGCGAGCTGTACCTTTCCCTACATCAGCCGTTATTATTTATTCTATAAAATGATTTGAATAATTCGTAGTTTATTGGTTTTTAAGAATTTATATTTTGATAGATTTTAGCCTTCTAGGTCGACAGGTGAGACTTTTAAAACCGATCGATTTAGGTTGTTCCATTTCAAACGAAGTAGATAACTCTGGAAATTTGAAGATCATAGTGTGCATGCTGCTGTGGATCGAGTCTGGTTGATTTTCTAGAAAGTAAAAAGGTTGCATCTTGCAAGAAAAACACAACGATTCGCTACTTAATTAATCGTGCTTAATTAACTAACAGTGGCTATTCTTGGACCTCATGAAGGTCCATTTATTTTTAATGGAGCAAATGAAAAGCATGAATAAAAATCATTTATAGTTTTTGAACGCTCATGTGACTTAACCTTGCAATGTCTGACCAATTAATTACCTATCAATAGGGGGACCAACATGATTGGGTCCAAAACGCAATTAAAGTGAACTAATAATTACTGATGGGCTGAGGCTAAGAGACCGATTCCGCCGGTTTTAGAAGTATGGAGAAAGAAAGGATGATGAATTCAAACAGTTTGGTAAGAGACTGTTTAACAAATTATAATTGCTTCTTGTTAAGATATTCAAGTGTGAGGGGATTTAAGTTGATGTAAAAAGTCTTACATCGGATTGAGTTTAACAAGTAATATCTAATAAGATAGAATGACTTATATAAATTTGAATTTTAAGATGAGTTAAGATATGACATTTTTTTCCTGCTCATTGCCCATTCCCCAGCCTAATTCTAGTTAATTCCATTCACAAATTTTCGTTGCTCATGAGTCATGGCCTAGCAACAGGCAGATTATCACAAATTCCCAGTTTAATCCTTTTTCTTTGTTTAGATCTAGCGACAGACAGATGTTCACGAATTCCCAGCTTACCATTTTCTTTGTTCATGATCTAGCGCATAGACAGATGATCACAAATTCCCAGTCTATCCATTTTCTTTTTCATGATCTAGCGATAGACAAATATGATGATCACAGCAAATTCCCAGTTTATCATCTTGAAGTAACCTTGGCCGGCAGTGCATGTGGCTCATCGTCAAAGAGAGGAAATTAAAAGATTAAGCTCCCTGAAAAGCAGGCAGTGACATTATATACATATTTGTCATTTTCCTTCATAACATCTATTCCACAAAAAATCCAAGCTATGTACCGTAATATTAATCAAACCCTCCAAATAGTTGTTCTTGTCTTTGTGTGTCTGTGTCTGCTCTCTTTTCCCAGTTTATTATTTATAGCTAGATATTATTCAACATGAACTGTATTACGTAACCGCGATTTGATCGCCATATAATCATCTTATATGTATTTTTTATTACTCTTAAGTACCATCAAGCAATTTAATTATAAGATGGAATTCGAAGAGGACAAGGGGAAATTGGTCAATGACACCATTTGTGTCAGTAATCCATTATAAGCACAATCCATATCAATCAACCAATCTAACCTGCATGGGCTGTAATTGATGCCCATGCTGGCATTTATTCTTCATACCTCTCAAAATAATTCTGTACAGGAAACTTAATCAACAGAGAGGAAAAATATACATAAAGAAAAAAAAAATCAAAACTCTGAACGACTCTCAATTCAATTCGGATAAGAAGAAAGCAAGCTGCTGGGTATGCATGGAGAATTCCTCCAAGCCCGAGAGTGCATTCTGAGAATCTCTCTGGCTTTGTCCTGAGCCTTTCGCCCACTCTCCACTTGAAGCACCAAACACAGCTTCGCCACCACCCCAACCTGCAACATTTCCTGCAAAACGCTAGGGGTTGCAGAGAACTTGGCAATGGACAGCAGAATCCTCGCCGCCCTATCGTTGGCCATAGTCGACACCCTCAGAATCTTCTTCGAAACTATTGCGATCCCCGCCCCGTGACTCAGTAGCTCGGCTCTCCCCTCAGCACACCCACACAGCATCTCCAACAACACCAGCATCATCTCACATGGCTTCCTGTCTTTACAATCTAGAAGAAGCTCTATCAACACCGATACGCCTCCTGCTTCCACTGCTCTTATTCTGTTTCTTCCCCAAGGACATGTTTGGATCAGTGTTCTTAGAGTAGCCTTCGAGGCTTGCTGGGATATCTGGTCTTTCAATAGCTGTACTAATTCAACGAACATTTCTGGTTTTAAATGGGATAAAACCGATGGATCAGCCACTTCGAACATGGATTTTAACAATAAGACGGCATAAGCTCGTGACTCGTAGAATCCCCTCTGCATGATTCTGGTTAAGCAGTCAATGAATGATCCGTTTTCGAAGCTGACGAGGCTCTTCAAGCCAGCCTCGGACAGGCGGAGGCTATGGAGAATGCTCAAGGCTTCATCACCTCCGCTTGTTTTCAATTCAAATCCATCATCGTCAGGGCTAGCTTCTTCAGGTGTGTAGGAGAAACTTGTGTGACGGAGTACAATGGATGCTAGGTATTCGACGGCGCCCGCGGCTTCTATGCTGCGTTTATTGGCGTCGCTGTCGGAGGCAATGGATTTGAGTGTTTGGAGGCATTTAACCGGTGACTGAGAAGATCGAGAAGCGTCTCTGATGATTTTAGCCACTTGGGCTTTGTTGATGGGAGGTTTGGGCGTGGGGATCCTCTCGATGCCGTGAGAAGCGTTCATGGTACACCACGATTGAATCAGACGACGAAGGGTGTGGTTGGGAACGAGGTCGGAGGAGTCTGATACGGAGAGGGGTTGTTTGGTGACCGGGCACGTCTTGTTCTTGCCGGAGAAGAGCCATTTCTCGATGCTCTCACGGTCGTAGGTAATCCCGGAGGAAACCGTGATCGGATCCTTCATGATTTCCAAGGAGATGGGGCACAAGAAGAAGGGAGGAACTTCAATATTCTCGTCCATGTCTCAAACCTGAAAGCACAAATTAACGAAGTCTCTGGTGGAATCTGAGAACGTGAAAATGAGATGGAGTACTGGAAGGAGTATAGAAGAAGATGGCCGCGATGAATGAAAGGTGATGCGAAAAAGAGAGAGGGAAGGGGGTTAATATTTATAGGGGAAAGCGTGTTTCGAAGTCAAAACACGGAGGGGAGAGAGCGAGGGAATGACTTTTCCAGGAGAGGGGCGGGAGATGAATGGGGGAAGGGCTCAAAGAAGACCAACTTTACTTTACCTTGTCAGACATGTTGATAATAATAAGGAGCAGTGGAAAAGGCCATGGAGCACATGTCGTTTTGACTTTCTCTCTCTCTTGTGCCAATATGATTAAATGCTGATTGGTTCCTTATGGAAGGCGCTGGTATCGCGTGAGGGGGTTTGACCGCGGGCTGCCCACAAAGCACATCGCCCATTCGCTGTTCAGATCCAGACGCTTCCTCTCTTCTTCCTAACTCCACACTCCTTCCATCTCACTTCCATGCCTCCTTGCTTCTCAGATCACCGTTCCTTTTGACCAGCAAAGCTTGTTTCCATTTTCTTTTTATTATCTATTAAAATTAAATTCAAAATTCAAAAATATAAATATAAAATTAATAATAAAATAATTAATAATATAAATTAAATATTTTAAATATATTAAATAAATAATATTCTATTCATTATATTCATATTCCATTTTATTCAAAAAGAATATTATAATTAAATATTCTAATATTAATATTTAGAAATTTTTAAATATTTAACAAACGCCTTCTTGCCTTTTTACGCATCTCTTCTTTGTGCATCGGTAACGTTTTAGATTCAATGTATATTGTTCCAACTCATCTTCTGCGCCACGTTTCATATATTTTGTGTATTCTTACCCCCCAAAAAAAATTACATGTTTGATTATTTGTGGATATATACAAATATCAATAAATAAGTTTTGATGATGATGTGTATTTCTTATCGATATTATCAATACATATAATAAAATTTACCATATCAAATCGTATTATTTACAGGTCACAAATCATTTGGTTCATCTTAAATTTCGACACAAAATACGGACACCTGTCTTGCTGATTTCTTGCAATGTATGCAATTTGTATATACAGTACTACAACATAAGAAATAGTAAAAATTCTGATCCTGTAAACTTTGAATCGAATAATGTTAAGTAATGTTTTGGTAGAGTTGACTTTATGTTTGTCTGTGTATTTAAAAATGGCTTTTATACATAAGTAAGACGGGGACTTCTGGCATGTACATTATACAATACAAAACATATATGGTCGTCGGAGCATCTTGCAAGCTTGATTGAGTGATTCCTTGTTTTATATTTTTGTTCATATTAGGAGTGCTGACATGTTACTTTGTTTGCCATATAAATATTCAATCCCGAAAATCAAGATAAGAACAACCAATTACTGAGCTGGAACATAAATATTATGTTTATGCATATGAGATCTGACCTGAACAATTAAATTAGGCTTCCGTGATTGTTGAACACTTCAATATTTCAATACCATGTATAATATTACTTCATCTATAAGCGGTGATGGGTCAGAATTTGAAAATGCAAATTATGATAATAAAAAAACACAACGGGTCCCTCGAAGTATACAGTTTTTTATTTTATTTTTATTCCCAAAAAAAAAAACAGAAGGAGAATGTACGCACGTTACGCACGTCGTGTATTATATACAATGTTATCTTGGGTTGCATATACACACTTTTACAATACCACATTCTATCCTTAATATAAGACCTAATTGACTAATTTGAAAATATTAAAAAAATTAGTTAAATTAGATTTGTAATAAATAGATGTTGTCTTTCTTAGAATATCCTTACGAATTATGTATATTAGCTAACATTACTATTTGATGAAATATTTAACGAGCACAACTATTACAACGACTACTTTAAAAAAATGAATAAATATAAAAGATAAAGTGAATTGGAATCTTATATTTAAGATCAAATTAAAAGTCAAACTAATTCTTCTATTAAAAACCGAAGGTGGTATATAGTTAATACATGACAGATAATCTCACGATTTTGTTCGAGATCTACTCATAAAATATCATTGGTAATAAATTATGATGCAGCTCGTTATAATTGTAAATATGTGTGTGTAAAATCTTCTCTCGATGTCACTAACCAAAGCATCGCATAGAAGTATAGAGTTGTTTGATTATTGAACAGATATACAAAAAGGACTTCTTTCTATATATGCATGCAGAACCCCCCCCCCCCAAGTGTTATTGATATACGCATGTAAGTGCTTATGGGTGGAGGAACACCTTTATAAAATTTCGGACAAGAAGAAATTAAAAAACAAAACCAGCTCCAAGGAAGCCTTGTTGAGTTATTTCCTGATACATAGATATGATGTACTTTATTACATTCGGGTCTAAGTACAGTATTCATATTGTAATGGAATTTATAAAAGATAAAGATGATCAACTTTTCTGTATTGATGGTGGGATCAACTTTGATTGACAAGCACTTCATATGGGTTGATGATCCAAAGACAGAGTGAATTAACTTAAAAAAAAAAAAAAACTCTTCTGCTTTCAAATAGCGAGTCACTTGTCGGTGTTGATAAATCGTTTGACCGTGATCAAAAGCACATTGAAGTGCTTGAAATTTTCATTTATTCATTTTCTTACCCTTTTTTGCCAGATAAAGTGTTTATAAATATATATAATTATCATACACATGTTAATTATATTTTTTTATAAATTTTATTTGAATTTAATTTGTAGCCATTCAGATAAGATGGCATGCGGTTGAATCATGGTATATTGGTAAGGGTGGCAGAGTCTATATATAAAATTAACATTAAAGCAGACCAGCGGGTGAGACGATGATGATGTGGAGTTAATTGGTTGGCTGGTTGGTAGCTGTTTGTGGGCTGTGTAGATATCGCGTAATGACCACCCACCCCTGAACGAGACACGAAACGGCCATCGCAAGCCTCCCGACGGAAAAAATAAAATTTAGAAAAAAAAACAAAAGAAAAGAAAATCAAAAGAGGGCGATAATGATGCGAGTATACAACTCCAAACGTCGGCCGCGATTGGTGTCACGTGGCTGACCGCACACGCAATCAACACTCAGCATCCTATTCCTATATCATCAATAATTTATTATGCGTATTTGACCTTGCATGCTGCCTATTTTAACTAATGAAAATATCGTTAAGTGAATATTATTAATTTATTTCTACTTCTTTATTATAAATATAGGACTTTTTTTTTTGCCATAATTTACGCACCCATTATACTTTTTATGTAGGTCTGGAAATTGGAACCATCATCCCACACTTAAAATAGCTTTAAGAAAAATGATTAGTGTTATTTAGGCTATTTTATCCCCACATTTTATATTCTTGTTAACGAAGAGATATTTTAGAAAAAGTTACACATGATTTTTACTCAGTAATGATAATAACAAATAGATACTTTAACTAATTTTTTATTTTGGAGTAATATAATATTCTTTTCATGATGGGTTAATATAATCTTTTGGGTCTCAAATTTATCCTCATTTTGATTTTAATCCCTCAAATTTCAATTAATAAGTTTTAATAAAGCTAGTAATATGGGTTGATCAACCAACCAACCCTTAAAAAGTAGCGGGTTGGGTTAAAAAAAATAGAAACCGTTTGGATGCGGTTCTTTCAGCTAGCCAACTCGTAGCTCGCCAAGAGCTTGCTAGTTTTTTAATTGTTTTAATTGTTTTAATTTTAACAAAGAATTTTGTCATTTTCACTCAATTTACATATAGATTTATATTTTGTTCATTCTAAATTTGATTTCTCATTTTGTTATTATGTTACCATTTTTATACTAATAAGATAACTTTCAAAAAAGAATTCTATGTTTATATTTCAAGTTTTGAGATTAATTTTATTATATAATTATGTGAAAATATAAAAATAAAAAAATTTAGCATGTAAAAATTTGTAATTTTAATTTAAAATTTTAAAAATATATATGTAAAATACAAAAAAAAACTTTCAAAAAAAATGGCATTTGGCAGGGCTGATTGGCTAAATACGAATCCGCCAAAAAGCAGTCTTTTTAGGACAGGCCCGCATGGGTTCCAATTTGTAGTAGGCTGGCCCTCTTTATCACAACTAGGTTTTAGTCTCTTAATAAGTAAAATTGTTCAAATTTTTATTGAATTATAAGGACTAAAACTAAAATAGGAACAAATTTAAGAAATAAAAAATTATATTAACCATTTTTATTTTCATAAATTAATTAATTAGATTTTACTGAAAATAAAGACAAAGTGTACTAACGAAACAAAATGCCCACGTCCTCCCTGGCCCCCTCCGATATTGTTTCCGGAGATGGTGACGGCACCATCCCCCAACAACTTGGCTTTTCCAGTAACGCAGTTAGACAGATTGTATGCGATGCCAAAAAAATGGGAGACAAATTGTATGCAATATTTTAAAAAAAATGTATATTTAGAAGCTAGATGGAAAAAAAATTAGAATTGTCACTCTAAAAATTTGCAGTTAATTCAGGATGTTTAACAGCTTATGCCACGTTTTTTCCCGTAAAAATCACGATTTAGAAGTCAACGAAGAGGATATTATAAGAGCCGCTCAACGAAATCATGATTTGAAATTTTTCTTTTGAAATAAAAAATGATATAACTTGTTAAATTAATGAGCATCCTAAACTTGACTGTCGTTAAATTTATGAGCAACGCTTTTTATATTTCCTTCGTTTGATTTCTAAAATTATTTTAAAAAACGCAATAAGCTGTTTAATTGACGAGGCACGTACATATATATTGTCAAATTAATTACTCAGTTTGAAAGTGACCCTAATAAAATTTTTTATTTGACTTCTAATCTTTTTAGAATTTATATAAGTTGTTAATTAACATCTGAAATTGACAGCTAAATTTGGCAATAACAATTATATATTTTTTTAATTGCTGGTGACAACGCTGCCGCTGGAGACGACGAGAGGTGGAGGGAGGGCATTTTCTTGTTTTCAGTTGCTGCCCCAAAAGCATTTTAGCCACTGCAATTTTCTTTTTCTTTTTAGTTCGTTAA